ACATACTATTCATGAGGGTGTGGGTGTGTGGGTGTGGGTGTGGGCGCGGGTGCAGCTGAAGCGCTCACTGAGCCCACATTCACACCCACACCAATATCCACACCCATACCCATACCCACACCCACACCCACACCCTGTGTATAACAGAATTTCTAATTGAATTCTTCTTTCTATTATTATTTAGAAAAATACATAAAAAAGAACCTTTGAAAGCTTTTATGAAGGAATCACTCCTTCGAGTCATGATAATAGCACCTTTGTTTGGTATTCTGCAAGTGATATATTATACTGGCATCGGAGAAGCCATATTGAGTCTTCCACAATCAAAGATTTTCACTTGATATAAGTGCAAGAAGAAGTTCATTGTTTTTTCCTTAAGTGAATTATCTGTTTTCTGAACTCAACTTGAGTAAAGTCAATAAAAATTGGCATTTGTAAAAATGTAAAGATTGTGAGTGTGCCTAAGGGTCCACTGAGGTTTACTGTTGGTATCAATCTTATTCTCGCACTCATTCCCACATCCTCAACTCATTATTTTATAAAATATTTTTTTTATTATATCAAACACAAGTTCAGGAAAGTTGATCAAACAAAATGATATTCGTCAAGTGAATAAATCAGAAGGTGAATATCTAACAACCTTTGCAGATTTTATTCGAATAAATTTTGAAATAGTATTAAAAAATAATTATTATTATAACTTAATAAAACATCATATGTGTGATACACTTAGGATACTTATTCAATTAATATCATTCACAAATGATAATCTTACTCACACATTAATAATAATAGATAATTGAATGTATTGTTAAAAATTTACAATATAAACAAGAAAAGTTGTTAGCACAATTTCTGTAGAATTAAAATGTCAAACACAAATGAATTACTTTTGCTAAAAGAAAGATAGGTTAGTGCAAACTTGTAGAGTCAATTAAGGCACATCGAATGCTAAAATTGTGAATGTAGAAAACTAAACTAATATAAAAATAAAAATTTCTGAAATAACAGCTTATAGTCATTTTTGTGCAGTTGAGATCGGTCCAACTCCTGAAAGAAGGTTATAGGGAACAATACTTTTTGCCATGTCGGTCATTTCATCGAGCTTTACAAACTAGCATGAAGTCCATTGAAAATGAAGAGGATGTGGATTAGATGAATGTCTACAATCACACCCTGATCTGATACAAAACTTATCATTAACAAATAGACCATGAAGAGTAATGTGAAAGTTGATAATTGTTTTTTTTTTTCACTCTATCTAAATAATTTTATTTCGAGGGTAGGTCTGATGTGGTAGGAGTGGAGTGGGCGCGTGGGTGTGGAACTTTTTTATGTAGGCTTCCTCTTCAGTCATGAACACATCCACATCCTCTAAAAACCCGATCAATCCATAGGGACTTTAATAGAAAACAAAAAAAGCATGGTTTCTTTTGCTTAAAGGTGCCTACAAAAAAAAGTTAATAAAAAAAGCAAATGCAATTTGACTCACCCCTTTTTTTTTCGTTCTTCTTGCGAAATTCGGTACGAAGAACGTCGTTTTCTTTTTATTATGATAAAAACACGCGGGCACAAGTAAATAGAGAATTGATAAGAAGTCACAATGATAAAGTGAGTTGCTTGTATTTTACGTCTATTTACTGCGTATTTTATGATATTCTTGCCACGTCAAACGAACAAGTACGTAGCCTGAAATTTTTTTATGGGAAGAAGACAATTGTGGCGAAGAAAAACTTTTTGCTTGCAAAAAATGTTTTCACGTGTTCGCCAAGTGGAGTTTTTTCGGAGGAAGCCCGACATCCCTCTGGCTATGCTCGTGCTTTCGAGTCTGTTTCAACAGTCTTCAAATATCCGAAAAAATAAATTTTCGTGACAAATGATCAAGTTTCAGTAGTTACTATTCAGCGAAAAAGACATTTGAAGTAAATACCGAAATTACTAAAGTTTTCTAAAAATCCATATAAAAATGTCCCCGAATGGATTTCAGGCGCTTTCTAGAAATTTCAGAAATTACCAGACATAAATGTAACATACTTCCGAGCAACTTCTGTAAATACTACGCATATTACGATAACCACTGAAATGTTCATATTTTCTATACCACTAAATCCTTTAGATTTTATAATGAGGAGGGAAAGGTAAGGAGTCGAGCCCTCAAAAACTACGAGAAATTTCCTTAAGTACGGTATTTTCCATAATTTCTTTAATACGAGTATATATAGTGTTAGTCGTAAGTCTAAACATTCAATTAGGGAATAAATCGGCGAATTTACCGTAATTGCTGAGATTTCGTCTTCTTGGAAAAGTACAGTGTTTTGAAATACTGTTTCTTTAATTCTATTAAGGATCGTGATCAATGTGGCAACGATCTTCGTTTACAATAAGGTAACTCCATCGTATTTCACATTTTAATTCTGTATGGATTACAATAAAAAAGTTTTGCTATCATTATTCTCATGTAAAATGCGATGATCAATAACGATGTTGATGCTTGAGTGAATCGACTTCAATGACCGAAGAAATGACAACAGTTTGGCCGTTCATGTTACTATCTACTCAATGTAACCTCAACGTCCGTAGATACCCATCATCCATGTAGTTGTCTTCATTCAAATACACAATTTATGTACATTCAACATTCTGCCGAATCTTTCTATGTTGTATATATACTCAAGATCAATCGTCTCGATACATTCATGATCGAAATCAATCGACACTTACTTCAAGGTAAGCCAGATCGTACTTTACATAATAGAACTATTGAATATTCATCAATACGTTTTGAAAATGATGATTATTTTAATCTCACACAAATCTATATTTGATATTAGGTGCAACTATTACCAATATGCTATCGAAAGATGATCATGTTCAATGACACGAATCTGGGAAGAAGATTCGTTAAGCTCGCTTTAAATATAAAAAATTGAAAACGCCATTATCTGAGCACTCGCCTAGTCAAAGACTATTTGGAAAATCCCGATCAAGTTCTTAGTATTTGTCATCAAGTACAGTTGAACGTTGTCAAGAGTGATTCAGACGCTTTCAAAATCAGCATTTATTGCTCATTGAACGATATTGTGCAACACAATGGTGTGGGCGCAGGTGTAGTTATTGTTCTGTTCTGCAACAACGAACCCACACCTTTGTAACCATATCGTGCATTTTACAGAACTTAAAGTGATATGTGTGACTTGTATAGACGAAAGCTCATAATAATGAGGACAACGTACCAGAAAGTTTTATGTTTTTCTTATTAAAAGTTAAACTTTCATAAATCATTTTAACTGTCAAACTGGAAACTTACAAGGTTTCGGGATTTCGTTGAAAGAAATCATTTATATCATATTTATGAATTAACTTTTTTTTCTTAGATATACTACACCAATGGATATGAAGCTAATTTCCCTTATCTTACTATTGGTTTTGACAGTCAGAGGCCATAGTGAGGACGATGATCAGTATCGAACAAAGATTAAAGCTTCGATCAAAGGTGTACTAAAAACAGTTCGAAGCATCGTAAAATCTGCTGAAAAATTTGCAGTTAAAATGCTCGATAAACTCGCTCTCAAAACTGCGTTGAAAGCTGGCGAAAAGGTAACAATGAAAACATCAGAGAAATTGGCTGTTAAGGTCGTTGAAAAAGTCGCTTCGAAAGGAACAGTGAAATTTGTCGGCAAAACATCCGGAAAATTAGTAAAGAAATTGCCCTACGTTGGTGTAGTGGTCGGCATAGCTTTCGGGTTATGGCGAATAGTTGACGATGCGGAAGATTGGCAATCGTATGCTTTGGCTGCTGGTGAATTGAGTTCTGGTGTGATATCGATAGTACCGGGAATTGGAACAATCGCTTCAACAGCAATCGATGCGGGTCTATTGGCTTTTGATCTGAAGTATGTGAAACATGAACAACAGACACAAGAAGAACCAGAACAAGCACAAGAAGAAATAAGTCATGGCAGTGAACTATAAAGTTGTTGCTTATTTTTAAACACGAAAGAAAGAAAATGAAACGTTCCTATTGCTACACTCAGTTAAAAAAGTAGAGGATCCCTTTTAACTTTTGAAGCATATGGCATTTTGTTTCCAAACTTTGTGAAAATAATGTAGATGGCAAACATAGATTCTGGCAAAAATGTCAGTTCTAGGGTGTATGCCGTTATCAAGATATGGGTTATTCAAAGATTGGAACCCTATGTATTCGTTCTATGGGACGTAGATAACAAAATGTTTTTCTTTTCCCGTTATTGTGCTCGATTAGCACACTTGCTGTCTTCGGAGTACAATGGCAATTATTCATACATGCGAATTCGATCGTGCACTTTTTTCGGACCTATTGATACGGTACAGATAAACAAATCAGCGAACCTATGATAAAAGAAACCGTACTGTTTTCTGAAGATATCCCAAAGAGCCTGTTCAATACATAACAGAGCATTTGTTAGAATAGGCCTGTTTCTGCACCTATCTTAAATCAATTCAGTTGCATCTCATAAAAGAGGGTGTGGGTGTGAATTTAAATATTCTCGTCATCTTCGCTGACACACGATAGCCACACTCAGACAGCACACCAACACTCTTTCCAATAGGTTCCCGACAAAAGAACTCGGGAAAAGGACAGAAACTTTGAAGCAGAAATATGGTGACCGATTTTTTTCTAGCTCCAGATAGAAGTGAACAGGAGATTTCGGCTTCTAAGCGTCTACCATTTTCTTGAGTTTTTCGGACGGAAATGACTCATATTTCTTGATCTAGTCAGAGAAGTTATTTGTATTAATTAAAGGAACATGACTTTTGGGGGTAATGTGCATGGTAGAAACCAATAAGTAATTGTGATGAATGTTTACTTAAGATTTCTTATGAGCCACTGATTAAAATGATCAATTAGACTGTTTTCCGATAAGAATAGTTCAATATAAACTAAAGTACATGAACACGTCCTATGTCCAATGAACAATTTTCATTGTGCAGACAATATTCATATCTTTCTCTCTTTTTAAATGATATTAAAGAAAAAAAAAACATGCAAGAGACAATTTTCAAGTTTTATACATAAAAGACTTGACGCAGAAATAATAAGCAGAAGCGAACAAATATGTATATGAGAACTATTTGCCATTTTTGGTGTAATTAAATTATAATTTGAATGAATGAAATCCAATATTGTTTTGTTTTTCTCAATAAGTGACCTGTTTAATTGATTTCGAAAAATTGAATATTATATTCTTATAAGAAAATATGTTATTCAATATTATGTTATTTGAAACCTCGACTCAAGTACTCAAATCTCATATAGGTACATAGAAGTAGAGATCATCTCTTGTTTACATATAAATTAATTTTTGTCAAAGTTCAGACTTTATGAAACATTCTGCATATAAACAACTTAAAAGAAATAATCAAACAACATTGAAGAAAAGAATTTCTTAATTGAAGTTTTGAAATGAATAGCAAAATAATTGATGATACTCCGTATTTTCTGTATTTAAATAATGAGCTAATCCTAAACGTTATTGTAAATGATATTTGATACAAAGTATGTCAGATGAAATTTCTTATTCTTAGAAGTTCACTAAGGTTTTTTTTTTCAAATTATTTGATATCGGAGCTCGATTTTATGACAAATGAGAAAACAGGTCCATTGCGTATTTCCATGTCTCAGTAATCAGGACAATCCTTATTCATCTTATCTATTTCATAGTTCTATTTTTCTTTTTTTTTACCAGCCACTTGATTCTCTAATATATTATATCTGTTCTTATCTCTATGTCAAACTAAGTACAATATTAATGAATTTAGTTCATTATATAGTCGTGCGTTGCTTCATAGCATTTATTAGCTAGCTACTACTACAAGAGAAAAAAAAACTTAACGCTTATATGTATCTGATTTGATTGCATTCATTTTTTCTTATGGTATCTTACTCATGTCAGGTATAGATTTATTATATATTGATACTGCTGTTGTTCCAAACACAATAAAACAACGTAAAAAATCTGGAACCATATATGAATGGTATGCATGGTCTTATTTTAATATAATTTTCGGCTGTTTAATTATGGGTTTTATTGCTATGTTTTTTTCTTTTCGTACAACAAAATATAAAGAAGCTGATAATAATGACAAAGCTCGTCTATGGTCTCGTATTACTTTATTATGGAATATATTAGCTACATGTGCCGGTTTTGGTTTAACATTCTATGCTTTATTTAAACAATGAAAATGAAAAATTTTATTATTTGAATTATTCTTGACAAAAAGAAAATGTAAGACATATCTATATGTCATGGCTTTGCTTTTTTTGTTTTGGCTTCTTTAAGTAAAGAATAAAACATTCATAGACTTTTGATTATTTTCATTCATTGGATCGTTTCATGATGAGTTCGATTCGAAAAAAAAATGTATTTTATTAAAATGGTGGAATTGAATCACATGCATGAGGATCTTCGAATCTAGCAGATTTTAATTTACATAAGAGTGCTCGTCGACAATTATGATCACAATAAGAACTTTGAGATTTTCTAGAATATTGATATACTAAATCCATTAATGGACCATCAATATCATTTTGTAATCTTTCAATTAGATCATTCCAATCGTTTGGAAATAAATATTTCATTTGATAAGCATCTCGAGCATTATATTCATCAAGAAAAATTGTTTGATTATAAATATTTGTTGCTGTTAAATTCATAATTACAGTACGATGATCAAGTACCCAATATGAACTACCAGAATAATTACCATCGATCGTAAAAACACGATAACCTGGATTAAGATGCGAATAAGTAGTTACTGATGGACCAATATATGCCTTTAGATGAAACGAATTTTTTAATTTTATATTCATGAGTCAGAAACAGAAAAATAAACATTTACCACTGAAACAGGACGTTTTTGATCAATTTCATCATAAAACACAGTAAATTCATCTGCATGTATATGTCCAAAAAATTGACCAGCAATCGTATTTTCATATCTAATACAACCAAAAAAAAAAACAAAAGAGAAAATGTATATAAAAAAAAACAAAACAAAAAGAATAATAAATTTGATTGTAAATACCGATTAACAATTTTATAATAATTCCAACTAAATGCCGTTAAACATGAACTTGGTGGATGATGTCCTATAATATGAACTTTTTCTTCATGATCTTCAGCATATTGTAACCATTGAATAAACTAAACCAATTATCAAATTCAATTATTGTTTTATTATTATAGAATTTACCCATTGAAGTTGATTAAGAGGATCAGTTGAATTAATATATAACCAAAAATTATCTTGAGCACAATAATTCATATTCAATGATATTAAACGTAGACCGGGTTGTACTATTGTTGTATAGAAAGCGCCCTGTAAAATACTTTCACGTGTATCAGTCGGTAAACCAAGTTTAATCCAATTGTCAGCTAAGGCTTCATATAACCAAGATATATTATCAGATCGAATATTTGGTGTTGGATACATATTACAAGGTGCTTAATGCGCAAAAAAAAAGAATTCAAGAGAAACAACAGATAAATAAATAGTGACATACCGGCTTCGTGATTACCAACTGCTGAATAGAATATTTTATTAGGAAATAATGTCGTTAATAATTGATTTATAGTATGTATTGAATAAAGTTGATCAGAACGAGATTGATTCCATACATTATGAGGTGGTAAGTCACCAGTGTAATAGATAAAATCAATCTATTACGAAGAAAATAATGTCAATACTAGTTTTTAAAAAAAATTAAAATTTTACATTTTCAACTTCAACAATACGTTTTAGTAAAGCTTCAACAGTCCAATATGGTATGTCACAACTTCTATAATCACCCCTGTAATAATGTAAACAAAAAATTTCGTTTAGTAAAAAAAAAGCTATGAAAGAATTTTACCAGAAACCTGCACCTGTCTGATTAAATGCTTTATGAATTCCAAAGTAAAATAATTGTTTCGTCAATAGAATATTATATAGAACAAACTTACCAGGTTGACCCGCTCGACAACATAAAGGTTCATTACAATCAGCTAATGATCCTGGTTTATATGCAAAATCAATATGAATATCCGATAGATGAAGAACAGTTAATTTAGGTGATGATGGCTACAATAAAATTATCTATGTCATATAATTTTACTTAGTTTCTCACCGATGGTGGTTGTGGTGGTCTTGGTTGTGGTTTTGGTTTATCAGGTAATGTAATATTCCATTTCAAAAGTGGAAAATCAAATTGTGCTTCACATTGAAATGCTACTGCACATATACCTTTATTATTAAGAGGTGACGTAGTAATTATTTCTAGAACAGCATCCTATTAAAATAATAATAAATGAATATTAATTGAAATAAGGATTTCATTTATATATTGATTACTTTGTATTCATTAACTGCACCAACACAAACATTTTGATCAATTTTTTTATATTCTTTGCATATAAACAAAAGTACTTCATCCAAATGTGATGTTCGATTTGTTGCAATAAATATTCGAATCTAATTACATGTGATGCAAAAAGAAAAGACTATTGAATAAATGTCTACTTCTATTTTTCTTTAATAGAATTGTACTGAAAGGAAGCATTGTTTTATCTGCTTATAGGATATTTTCTATAACATGGTATATTGGCGATAGTACGAACAAACATGTACCATAAGTATCTTCAGACGAAAAAAAATTCTTTCAGTACTAGATCATATGTTATATGACAAGGAGAGAAAATGAAATTTAAAATAAAGAATTCAACTTACTACTGGAATAATCAAATCACAAAATTCACATAAATCGTCATTTTTTATTGTTCTAAGAGACCATTGAAGTGCCTGAAAATTAGTAGAATGTTCCAAACGATGACGATAATCACTGACACTACTATGCATTGAACTTGATTCATCATCTTCGAATGAATTGCTCGCTAATTGATCAACAGAATATTGTAGAACTGAACGAACATCAATTCTTGTTACATAAATAGTTAAGAGACATAAAACAACAAGTAAGCAACTTGTCACCTTCATCGTTAAAATGAAAAACTAACAGTTTAGATAAGAAAAACCAAAAACGAAATTATCTCATATCGGGATATCTTATCTTTTCAGTTGACCCATTTTAACTATAGAAAATGTCCTTAATATTAAAATCAATCATACAAATAAAATGTTCTTCTTTTTCATGTATATCCTGTTGACACTGACAAAATTGAGTTATTTTCAATGCACTTTGATAACATTGATGCGTCTGTACTAGTCACAGAATCCAAACTGACCATAGTTATGAGATGAATTTTTATTAGTAAAATATATTTTGAAACTATTCTCTTCTCGATTAGTTCGAATTCAGATAGAAAACATTGCCTACAAGCGTTTATAGTTGGAACTGAAAGTATGAAAAGTACTTCATGCGGTAGTGCTAACAAACATGGATTGCATAGTTCATATTCTTTATCAAGATTAAACAAACAAAAAAAATAAACAATAGATATTCAGTATAAAGTTTTTATAGTACAAAATATGTTGAATAGAAACATCATAGATGATAAATTAATTTGGAATTGAATCACATGCATGAGGATCTTCGGATCGAGACGTTATAAAATCACATAAAAGTCCTCGACGACAACTATGATCACATTGATTACCATTTGCATATGATTTTGTATAATATTGATATACTAAACCCATTAATGGACCATCAATATTATTTTTTAATCTTTCAATTAGATTATGCCAATCATTTGGAAATAAATTTTCCATGTCATATGCATCTCGAGCATCATATTCATCAATAAATATTGTTCGATTATAGATATTTGTTGCTGTTAAATTCATAATTACAGTACGATGATCAAGTACCCAATATGAACTTCCAGGATAATTACCATCAATTCTATAAACACGATAACCTGGATTAAGATTAGAAAATGTTGTTAATGATGGTGTTATATATGCCTAAAACAAAATTGAGAATTTTTCAAGTAATGAAAAATAAATAAATGGTAAACCATCGATATGGGACGTTGTTGATCGATTTCATCATAATTTATGACAAATTCATCATTATGAGTATGTGCATAAAATTGACCAGTAATTATATTTTCATATCTAATTAAATCAAAAATTTTAATAAGAGAAAATTTTTTATTTCAAATTTTACCGATTAACAATTTTATTAAAATTCCAACTAAACGATGCTAAACATTGCTTTGGTGGAACATGTCCAATGATATGAACTTTTTCTTCATGATCTTCAGCATATTGTAACCATTGAATCATCTATAAATCTAAGATGTCCTATTATTTTCTTTCTCGAATAATCTTACCCATTGCAGTTGATCAAGTGGATCAGTTGAATTAATAAATAACCAAAAATTTTCCCACGAACAATAGTTCATATTCAATGAAATTAAACGTAGACCAGGTCGTATTACAGTTGTATAAAAACCTCCACGTTCAATAGTTTCGCGTGTATCCTCTGGTAAACCAAGTTTGATCCAATTATCTGCTAATACTTCATATAACCATGAAATATTATCCGAACGAACATTTGGTGTAGGAAAAAGATTACATGGAGCTAAATAATAATAAAAAATCAAAATATATATAGTTTTTTTTTTTTATTTGAAATAAAATTCTACCTGCTTCATGATTACCAACAGCTGAATAAAATGTTTTATTAGGAAATGTTTTACCTAATAATTCATTAATAGTTTTAAGTGAATAGAGTTGTTGTTCACGTGATTGATTCCAAACATTATGAGGTGGAAGATCACCGGTATAATAAATAAAATCAATCTATACAAAGTTATATAGTTTTAGACAAATAAAATTTACAATTACTTTTTCTAATTCCGACGCATATTGAAGCATAATTTCTGCTGTCCAATATGGAATATCACAATTACGTAAATCACCCCTAAATAAATCATATATACTCTTACCCTCCTTGGATATCCTTTACCAAAAGGGATAGAAATCTGAAAATATGGGTGTTCATACTTCATCATGAATGTAAGTCAATATAACTATCTACATTCCGCTTGCTTAAGTACTGGATACGTAGTGATATACTTCAGTTGTCTGTGATAAAAAATTAAGACCCATAACTCAGTAATACTTCAATAAATCTATTCAAAGCTTTTAGAAAAACTTTCTCTATATCTTGGCATTGTTTTCTACAAGTTTCACAATCATCTATTATACTAGAGGGATATGACGTACGGATAATCATCTTGTTAGTATCAAGAATTCAAAATATTTTTGATGAAGAAAGATTATACATTGGGCTCAAGTTGCTTATGAAAATATTTAGAATTAATCATATACTTGATAGACATAAGATAAACTTTAGTAGATAGTCTTTTAAGATTGGAGATCCAGATGGTGCCGCTGACTTACATGCCTGATGGATTATGCATAGAAATATTTTCAAAACATCTATCAGTATGAATATGTCGATTAGTTAGTGTGTTAGTGAGCAGTTTACTAAAATTCCATATCCCTATATAGACCTTTTTTTTCATGAATATTGCATACAACATGCATTTTTTGAAAGCTTCCTATCTCGAAGAGTCCAAATCTTGTAAGGGTTTCTATTAGAATACTATTAGCAACAATGTTTTTGTTTTAAAGTTCTTACCAGAAACCAGCACCTGTATGGCCAGGAGCTAAAATAAAGAAAACGAATCATATACATTAGAAATATTTGAAACCTTCTATATGCTCACCAGGTTGACCTCCCCGACAACATAAAGGTTGAGAACAATCACCTTGTGATCCAGGTGTATAAGCAAAATCAACATGAATATCCGACAAATGTAACACAGTGAATGCTGGTGAACCAGGCTAAAATCAAATTTATATAATGCGCCTAATAATTTTTTTTTTTTTTTTAATATCATTTTTTTGTCTTTTTTTTTCTGTATTTTCTAAGATAAAGTATTATTAGGTATTTTTCTTTTCTTTCAAACTCAACAATCATCAAACTTATTCACCTGTCCTTCTACTATGACATTATTTGTTCAAGTTTGTGACTTTTTTTTATAACATTTTTTAATATGTATTAATATAGAACTCATCATCAAATATAATTAAAAATGAAAATAATAATAAAACTAAAAAAAAATCATCAAATAAATTTAAAATTGATATATTTGATAAATTTCAATATTGTCAACAATTATTAAAATTTCAATCAAAAAAACAAATAATTAAACATTGGCAACCAAAATTAACATCTGAAGAAAAAATTCTTTTCGATAAAGAAGAACTTCTATCTGCATATCAACATATTATTGCTAATACATGTGGACAACATCGTAATCGACAGCAAGTACTAAAGTAAAATTTAATATTTGAATTACGTTTATTTTCATAGATTAAAATTTTATTAAATCGTTCATCAATTAAAGAATCTCTTCTACCTATACATCGATATTGTCGTAAAGGATTTTATCCAGGAACAACAATTCAACGTCAACAAATCAATGATGATCAAGTTCTATGGACTATGGATTTACCAAAGTAACATCATCGAAATTCTAATTTTCTTTTTTTTTTTTTTTTTTTTGTAAAGTTATAATCCATCTTATTATACACATTCATCATTAATTAATGATACGAATGAAATAGATTCAGAAATAATTTCAAAAAATTTTATGTGGAATACTTTCGATACAAATTATAATGTTGATCGACGTACAGCAAATCCTGTTGGTTATTATCCAATTGATAAAAAAGGTTATCCATTAAATCCTCTTGGTCGTACAGGTTTATGTGGACGAGGAGAATTAAAACGTTGGGCTGTTAATTATCAAACTCATCTTGTTATTATGTGTGGTACTAATGAAATAAAATCGGGACAAGAAATATTTAAATATATTATGGAAAAACCGAGATATGATGATTATTATCGTATACCATCTACATCAACAACTGGAACAAATATGAATGCAATTAAAAAAACACTTCAAACATTTCTTTCTAATATTGATCGAACATGGAATGATTTCGATAAAAATAATGAAACAAAAATTGATGATATTATTGAACATTTAACATTTGTTAGTACTGCTTATATCGGTACGATACATTTCGAAATTGATTTCTACTTAGAACATAAATAGAAAAAAGTAGTAGCGAAAGTATTTTAATTTCTTAGAAAAATCATTAGAAAAATTTCTTTCTATATGGTCCAAGAGTAAAAACAATGTTCTAATATTTGATTATTCTTCAACTAATATTATAATAATTTTCTTATTAATGTTCGGATTCGAAAGTTTTGCACCCGACGGACTCTAGTCACCAAATATAAAAAGTAGGGAAAAAAATTATCTTGTATCTTCTGAACAACTATCGAATTTCAAGTCGCAAAATTTTATTCAGACTATCGAGTAGAGCTCTGCAGAGTCAAACTTTTTGACTGGCATATATATACTTCTTTTCATACTGCTTGGTAATGAGAATGTCTTCGTGATGTTTTGTTTCTTGAAAAACTTATTTATGAATCTATAAAATAGTGTAGTCTTTTTTATTAATTAACATGTCTAGTTTCACTTTTCCATGGTAACACTTATGTTGTTCATATGATATTTTCAGGAATTGATTTCTTGAAAGATTAGAACTTCAATTAGTATATTTACATCAAAATCTCACTAGTTTTTAAGATTTTTCGGCTTAAAGTCTTAAACATATCTTCTAAAACACTTGTGGTTTTTTTGAAAAATCTTTTTTTTATTAAAATTTATGGAAACAAATGAGACGCAATAGAAGATCTGTGATCTTCTATTGTAGGAAAATGTTTTCCTTAATTTTTTTTTGGTAGATGTCTAACAAATTTCCATTAGAGAAAATGTATCGCAGGTGGAAAAGTTACAAATATTTTTTTTAAATTAGATGATCCAAAAAATACGGACAATGCTTGGCTTGAAACTTCGATTTGTTGTTATATTCAAACAAATATCAATAAAATCATCTCATCAAATCCTCATATCGATCTTAATGAACTTTTTCCTGATAAATCAACCAATGAAAAAACAATTTATACATGGTATCAAGTAACACGAACAAGTAAAATACTTGATAGTGAACGTGATGTTATAAAACTTATTGCTAAACGATATAATGCTTATTGGTAATTTACTTTTGGTGGTCGTGGTGGTTGTGGTAGTGGTTTGGGTTTATCAGAAGGAAATGTAACATTCCATGTTAAAATTGGATAATCAAATCGTTTATAACAATCAAATGCTAATGCACAAAGTTGTTTGTTATTATAACTCGATAACGATATTACTTCAATTACTGCGTCCTATATAATTAAAAATAAACAGAAAAAAAAAAAAAAAAAAAGAATTTTTTATTATTTTTAAGAAATATTTTACTTTATATTCATGAACAGCACCAATACAAACATCGATATCAATTAATTTAAATTCTTTACAAAATCCATTAACAACATTTTCGATATGAGCAGTTTGATTTGCTTCAATAAGTAATCGAACCTCACAAAATATATAGAAAATTTTCGTAGAAAAAAAATTTTTAGTAAAATAAAATTTCTTACTACTGGTACAACTAAATCACAAAATTCACAATAAGCTTTATTATATCGATGTTTAAGTATCCAACGAAATTTTTTCATATTTGTTGAATGTTCAAAACGATGACGATAATTTGCAAGTGTTATTAAAAATTCTTGATTTTCATCATTTATAAGATTATTAACAATTAATTCAATAATATCGTTTTCATCTATTGATCTTGCATCAATTATTATCAAGTATAAAGTTAAAAAATAAAATAAAGTACATAGATAACGAAACATCGACGATATTAGTTGACGGACTAAGGTAGAAAAAGAAAATAGAACAAAGATCTTATCTCTTGTTCATTGATATCAAAGTGTCACATGCAGAATTTTTATCCTAATAGATTAATAATACTTTTTTGTTTTTAATCAAATAAAATATTTTATCACAAAACAAACAAAAAATTGTTTATACAAAAAAAAAAAAATAAATAAAATAAAATTATTATCACAATTATTGTAAATGTCGAGCAACTGTACGATGAATTGGAAAAGTTTCTCCATGATGACAAATATCTGTTGGATCATCAAGATGAAGACCCTAAATATACAATTAAGAATCAATTAGTTTGTTCAATAATAAAAAGTTTTTTTTTTTTTGGAAAATACAATCAAAGGTCAAATATAAATAACGCATGTCTAGAAAATTAAGTGAAACAATGATGAAGAAATGTTGCCCAAAATAGATAGACTAAAACAATCTCTCATGTTTCATGTTCTATAAAATTCCGTTTATCTCGTTGACTGAAAAGTGCGTGACTGCACAAATTGCAACAGTCGACTTATTACTTTTCTCCTTCTTCAACCTATCCAACTCATAATCTTCGTTTGACGTCACAATTGAGTTATCGTCATGTTACTGAATTTCCAACCTATTGCAGGATATCAATTTTTCCTAACAATAACTTTCATGACCTTTTTGATATTCTGAAAGTTTCAGCTAAAACAGATGATCTCTTCTTGAAATATTGTATGTCTAAAACCTTGACTAGTTTCCTCCTATGGTCAAACAAATCTCAATTTGAAAAAGATCGTTGAGATTTCAAATGCTATTACTTATCAGCTAAACTAGAATAGTTGAACATAACTGAAAATTAATTATGATTTCAAGTAAAAAAAATCTAAAATTTAAAAATAGAAAATGTCGTATAGAATGGTGTTCTAATATTTTTCGTACCCATGCAGTCAGTCATCTTTTCAACTCAGACTTTATTCGTTCTTTTTCTGATTGTCCCGCAAGAATCTCCTCGATCTTTCCTTGTGGAAAACTTTCGAAGTTATTATTAACAATCTATCATAGTAAGGCTGAAGGGGACTCAGCTTTCTATCACTAAAATCTCTAGTACTGCCATTATATTATAATCCCGCATGGGCTGTATCAACAGCATATCTCCTGGAAAATGATTTTTAAAAATTGATTATAGTTCTGTTTTCGAACTTACAAAAGTAAAAGCACCTCCATAATTATTTGCTTTAATAAATAAAGCTTTTTCTGTTGCCGCTCTTACATCACCAACATTCGTCCATTGATCATTATAATATGTATAATTAACTTTAGCTTCATCGTCCCAATATGATCCAACAGTTTTAACAAGTAAACAAAATTCAATAAATGTCATCCATCCATTACCATAACCAACACCAACAACAGGTGCTGCAAAATCATGATTATATGAATTATTTAATTGAAATGTATGACCAAGTCCTTCGAGTCCAATAAGAATTTTATTTTTTGGTACACCTTGTTCAACAAGATAAGCAGCACTCCATTCTGTATTATATTGTCGAGCTTCATCTTTTTCCACACTTTTAGAATAAATTGGTGAACTATAACCTGTTTGTTTATCATAAATGCCTGAAGTTAAATCAAAAGAAAAGTTTGGTTTTTTTTCTTCTTTTATTAATTTGCGAAAAAAAAAACAAGAAGAAAGCATCTTACTATGATAGTCATAAGTCATTAGATGAATGAGATCAAGTAGTTGACCTAGGCGTTCAATTTCATAACAATTATCAATTGTATATTTGCCTGCACCAACAGCTGTCGTCAAAAGAAATTCATCTCGAAATGTTTTTTGTATAGCTTCACGAAGTTCTTCTATAAATTGACTATATAATGATTTGTAATCACCACATGGATATTCCCAATCAAAATCGAGACCATCAATATCCTATTCAAATTTGCTTGTAAAACAAAAATTAAAACAATTTTATTAATTACTTGAGATTTAGCAAATTCAATAAGAGATATAATGAATTTTGTTCGTGATTCTGAATCTTTTATAGCTGTTTGCCATTCAATATCATCACCAACAAGTGATGGAATAACTTTTAATTTATTTAAATCACGTGTACGATAATTTCTCATGCTTTGAAGAGCATTTAACCCATTATACGGATGTTGAATAATGTTTACACCAAGATTCTTAACGATAATTGTACCAATAAGTAAAACATGTGTGCATACGCCAATAGGCAATTGTTCTGGTAAGATTAATGGTTGACTATAATCATAATAACATCCTAATAAATATGATTGTACAACTGGAAACAGAACAAAGAAACACCATCTCATCCTTTATTACTTGTCTGTCTAAACTACAAATTATCAATGATTCATTTCAATCAGCTGACAAGTCATTTGATTGGTTGTTATCTACCATGACAGAGAATAATTGTCCTCAAAGTTATATCGATCAAGTAAATTTATAAAAAATATATTAAAAAAAAATTTATGATTAACATTGAATTTTGATTAAACTTCAAAATTGAAATTATTAATAATGATTGGTTATAGAACAGCAATGAAAACAAATTGAATAGATAAATAAAAAGAGAGAACGATAGAGTATACATCAATGAATGATGTGATAGGAAACAAACGGAGAAAAAAAAAAAAGCTGAATTAATCCTTATTCTATTCTACATCATCTGGTGACTATGTCGGTTAGTATATCTGAAAAACAAATTTTATATGATAATCCATGTGCACCTATCGTTAAATTTTCTCATTCAAATAATATTGATGATGAAGATATGACTGATGATCAAATATCTTCTAATATTCTAAATGATACTTTATTACATGCCACTCTCGGTTAGTACAAGAAAATAATTTGAATATATAAATATTTTTTATTTTTATTCTCAATAGAACATTCATTCAAAGCATTCTCACTTGAAGATCTTGTTAAATCATTTGATGATACAATTAATACATGTTTTTCCGATCAACAAATAATTAAATCAGAAGAATATATTCCTACTAAACAAACAGATCTTGTTTCTACATCAAAGTTTGTTTGCTTCTTTTTTTTTTTTTGTTAATTTAATTTGATATATTCATATTTTAATAGTACATGGTCAGATTTAATTGAAAATCTTCAAACATCTTTACGTCATGATTTAAAATTACCATATATAAGTAAAAATTGTCAAATAGCAATGAATAAAATTCATGAAAAACAATTTTCTGAAGATGAAATTATATCAATTGATGATTTAAATGAAGATGAAGAAGAAGAATTACGTGAACAATTAGATATGCATTCAGTTATTGTTTCATCAAATAATTTTCATCATGAACCATTTCTTACAGCTGAACAAGTTATAAGTGAAATTGATTTTATGTTACAAGATATGACACCAGATTCAGGTTATTGTGATGGTGATGTTGATGATGATCATAATCATTTACATATATCATGTATTAAAACGAATGAATTTTATTTAAAAAATCAATCAATTTATTCATTAAATGAATTATATGATGAATTAAATGCATCAATTAAATATTTATCAAATATACTTATACAAGAATTAGCTAGTCGGGATGAACTTGAATATGAAAAAGAAACAAAAAATACATTTATTTCACTTGTACTTAGTATTCAAGTAAGATAATTAATTACAGCAATTGGTTTTGTTTTTTTATAAGAAAATATCTGTTGTTCTTTTTTCTTTTTCTTCTTTGTTTAGAATAAACGTCGACAATATCAAAATGATAAACGTGAAAAACGTCGTTCAATAGTTGGGAATAACAATTATATTGAACCGGGAACGGTAAAATTTATTTTATTCTTTTCTATATAACCGGAAAACATTAATTTATTATTATCTCTAACAGATATGATTAATATGAGTATACGAAACTAGCACATTTATTAATACCCGCTGTGTCTATTGGGAATTCTTCTTTTCTAGCGAGAGATAAAATGCCTTATCTGAATATTTATTATTGTAGAGATGAACTGCTAAACAAACTTTTTCTTTTCTTTGCATTTTTTTTTGTCTATACTACTGTTTAGAGTTGGTTGTTAATTAGATAAAGGAATAGACAGAATGTAGAAAGAAAAGAAAGAAAAAAAGAGGTCATGTTGATTGGAAAGAATGTTTTAATTATCGAACAATTCTGCCTCATCGGAAATAAAAATAGACAAAAAATAAAATAAGATGATGAAGTTTTTATTGTCATTGGTTCGAATCTATGAACAGGATATTATTGAGAACACATTTACATTACATTATAAATATTGCCTATCAATTTAGATATTAGAAATTTGAAAATCTATCTTATTGATTAGAGAAACAAATAAAAAGAAAATCTAGCACATTTTGACGAAATTAACATGTACGAAGAGATGACATGAATGAAAACATGCTAAAATATCCATGTTTATTTTTTTATCTATATGACACAATCATCGATTAACTCTGATAGTAGAATTTTCATATTATCTATATTATTAAAGGATAACAAGATAGTTTCTTCATTGAAAGACTTGTCTTTCAAGAAAACAAATCAATCATAATTTTGATAAAAAAAGAAAAATTTTCCGACGAAAGATTTGTATACTTAATTGAATCAAACAATAGAAAAGAAACATAGATGTGATATGTTTTAATCAAGGATATTTATAAATTCAGATGAATATTTATCTTATGATACAATGAAATATTTTTATTGTATATATATATATATTGTTTTTTAGTATTTAACAACAATAATACCATTTGATCGTGATCATCCAACATATCTCTCAGTTGAACATTTAGAAAATTTAAATAAAAGTTAGTTGTTATTTAAAATTTTATTTTTAATTATTTCTTTCTTCTTTTTTTTTTATATTCTAGTCCTTCATGCTATTAATGAAGATAGTGCTCAAGTAACAGAATTATTAACAAATTATATTCTTAAAGTTTTATGTCCATATTAATACAAACAAACAAACAAAAAAAAAATAATCATTTTTCTTTTCTAGTCATATTTAATAATGTTTTTGCTGTGTGTATTTTTTGTTTTGTGCTTTTGTATTTTAATTTTTTTTTTCTTCTTTTGTGTATGTTCAATTCTGATCAATGACATAATTGAGATATGTAGACCAGTTTGCATTTAAAATCAAACATTTTCTTTTAATATTTAATCTAGTCGTATATTTGGTTGGACTGATAAATGCGTCTTCATTGTATATACATGCATAGCTGCACGTTATTTGAAGCATATTATTTAATTTGTATTGTTGTCTGTTTAGCTTTATTTGCGAAAAGAAAGAAAAAAAAAATAATAATAAGAATATTTTAACTTGTAGACAAAAGAATGATTTTACTTCGTTGTATACTTTGCCCAACATGGCGTCGTATTGGATATACTCTAATAAAACCAATAGTTCGAAATAAAACATCAACATCAGCTTTCTCAAATATTCAAAAATCTCTTTCAAAAAATTTACTTGTTTTTGAATATAAAGATCGATTATTACCATTATTAGGTGCTATTGGTTTATTTCAATTTATTACATTAGATATTGTTGCTTATTGGAGTTTTTATTTATTTGGAGCAGTTACAGCTAGACCAGAAAATTTAACATCAAATTCAACAATTATGGAACGAGCAGCAACTATGGTACCAACAAACAGATTTCGATATACAACAAATATTGTTATTGTTATGCTTAGTAAGTTTATTTAAAAAGACACAATAGAAGTTAATGACGAGTAAAAAATGAAGCACGGCTTTTTTATATTACATAGATCAATGGATTTCATGGAGGCGACATCCTGAAATAAAGTGTTTACGACAGATAGAAAAAAGACATTGTTTATTACGATAAAAGTCTAATATGACAGAATATAACAAATTGGTATTGATTCTTAGTCATCAAAGATTATAAAGTTTTGATAATAATTTTTCGTTCGTTAGAAAAGTAATGATTTCAAAATCGAAATTTTTTTGCAAATTATAAAAGAAAAGGTTGATCTCAATCATTAATATTCAAATCGTATAACTTGACATTGCAAATCTTGACAAGAAAAAAAAAATACTTTTTTGCTGTATTTATTGTCATTATAGGCGGTGCTATTTTTGGTGCTTGTATAATCTATCCAGCTCGATGTATACGTCGCCTTTATCTACTTAAGGATGGCTCGTCTATTGGTGTTGTCACTTATGCATTATGGCCTAGTGCACGAAAATTTACTGTTCCATTAGAACATGTATCTGCACAAACTAGTCTACAAGGTTCAGGTATTTTTCACAAAATCAAAATTCAAAATCGATGGCTTTCACATTTAGTTAATAGACATGAAGGAAAATTTTATAATAAATCTATATATGAAACTGTGATTGCTTTGAAACGTTTTTAACATTGTTTTCTTTTTTTTTTTTCATTGTATTGTTTGTCACCCTAGTTGTTATTGGTTTTTTATGAAATAAATATATCATGCTTAGAAAATTCTTTGGAATTCTGTTGCGAATTCATTCGACAAACTTCATCAAGATATCCGATTAATAAATAAACATATATTCATTTGTATGATAAGATATGAAAAAAAAAAGTATAATATTACATCGATCAGAATGAAGTTCATAGTCCGAACATTCAATTGACAATAACACAAAAAGAAAAATCTTGTCTATATTATCTGATCTTCATTGGATGTCAATCTGTCATTAATGAAGAAAAACTATCTTTTTGTCAGATTATCATTACAGTTTTTATCAACGAATTGATTTAACTACTATTACGACTATAATAAATCATAAGTTCTTTTTTGTTTTGTATATGACTCATTATTCCAACGATTCATTCTCAAATCCATCATATTTTATTAATTTGTTATGTTATTTGACAGTTAATAATGAAGAAAATAAATTTTCGGTTATTATGAAAAATAATATAAAATATTCTATCTATTTGTAAGTTTCATTTTTGAAATGTACAATATAATTATACATAATTGAAAATAGGTAATAAAGTATAAGCATAATTCAATGACACAGATATTTGTTGTTGTTGTTGTTGTTTTTAGAGCGACATTCTCATGTTTAGAATGATAGATTACCTAATAAGTATAGCTATCATTTGTACGTAGAATTTATGTAGTCTGTCAACGACAACACCCCACAAAGAAAAAAAAAACTCAAATATTAACTCCATAAGGTCAACGTACGATGACATCCGTATTTCTTGACATATAGAAAACCTCAGATAATATAGAAAGACATAAAAAATAGGTATATTTGCCTCAAGAGTATAGAGGAAAAAGAAAAACAAGAAAAAACATAAGTGAATATATTTGTTTTGTTTTTTATTATTGATATTGAGATGTTGTATACTTATTCTAACGATCGTGATCTTTATTCTTGTTTCTCTTTTTTTTCCCTCGATAGATTGACATGCAAACTGGCCTTTTTCTTCTTCTTCTTCTTTGAGAAAACTTCTTTTGTTTGTCATCATCATTGTCTTGATTGTGTCTCAGTTGCATTAGAGTCAACATAAATAGCATCGAAAGAATCATCACGTATGAAGTTGATGTTTGTTATTTTCTAGTTTTCTTAGCGTTTCTATTCTGTCTAAAAACGACATTTTCCATCTATTGACGATATTGTCATATTGTCTTTATCGTCCTATAGATGAGGACAACGTTCGTGTGCAACCAAATTTCTGCCTATACTACTAGGATTATCAACATCAGTCGTAGACGCCTACATTTCTAGAATACGTGTGGTAAGAAAACACTCAGCATTAGACGTGTACATTTGTATATGTTGTTCTTACTGAGAAAGGCTTGCATCTTGGTTTTTCTTGTCTAGGAAAAAAAAAATAAATAGGAATTCCATTGTTCTAATAAGATGTTTTTTGCATCAGTCCAGCGACCTTTTTCAACAAGGTTTGTTAATTATCTCTCTTCCTCTCTCTCTCTCTCTCTCTCTGTACATATATATATATATAAAGATAGATAGATAGATATACATATATATATTGTATACTGCACAAAATGAATTGGATAAAGATTGAGATCAGCATGTAAGTGAAGATTTAGATAAACAGGAAAAAAAGCGGTTGTTTTGTTTTAAATTAGTTTATTATAAACGACAGACAAGTATATTGATAGTGGTCATCATCATATCAATTAAAAGATTTTGCTTAGTTATACTTTTGCATGTCCAGGGACAATTAGCATTCTTTCTTTTCTATCGTCATTGTTAGTTGTCGATCATATTGGACGGCTTATCTCAATGTATTTACTTATCTTTTTTAGCTCGTTTTCTGTCCATATAGAATGATTGCAATATGCATTCATGTCTTCTGTCTCTCATTTTCTTGTTGTTAGCAATAGACGTGATGCTGAGTTAGCTCTTTTTTTTTCTTCTCTGTATATTACTATATTTCTTAGTTGTTGTTGTTGTTGTTATCTTGTCAATTGTCTTTTTATAGTTGTTCTCTTCAGTTTTTAGAGGAGGACCTTTCGTTTCTATCTATTCTTGTTCCTTTTTTCGCCACCCTACCGATAGTAACATGCATACATTTTAGTTGTCTACCGCTGTCTTACAATTATCCATCAATAGACAATATTTTGTTGTTCTTGTTCTAGAAGAGCAATACACGAATAGAGAAGAGAAAAAAAAGGAGAAGAAGAAAGAGAAGCAAACATGCCAGAATATGCAACAGATATCTTGTAAAGAAGAAGAAGAAGAAGAAGAAGGAGAAAAACGATAGAAGAGAACTTTTGTCATAATGTCTCGCTCTTTTACTTAATATTAGATTGTACTAAGAGAATATCGTTCTTCTTTTCTCCTTCTTCTTCCTCTTCTCCTGTGCAAGATAGGAAATGTTAGATGATCAACACCGATTTGTGCAAATACAGGAAAGGACATATTTTTCTACCGAGCACAATAGTACATGGTTTTCTTCGTCTTGTTCCTGTTTTTTCTTCTTCTCTGTTATGTCTTAGCTTGTCGTCGACCATCTATAATCTTTTTTATGATTATTTCTTTGATACTTTTTCTACATATAGACATGCATATAACTGAAAATGGATGGATAATATCTCGTCTCTTTATTTTTTATTGTTAAGATAGATAAATAGCTAGTAAATCGATTGATTGACGAAAAACCTCATGGCAGCTAGTGCCCCTCGGTTTACTAAACCGCCAGCTATTCGACAATCACCCGATGATCCTACACGTCTCTATTTCGAATGTCAAGTTCAAGGAACGCCCAAGCCCGATGTAACTTGGTTTCAAAATGATAAGAAACTCTTAACAACATCAACTAAACATAAACAAACATTTAATACTGCAACTGGAAATAATTACGATGTTGTACTTGAAATAACTGATCTTGGTCCTAATGATGCTGGAACATATAAAATTATCGTTAAAAATAAAGCTGGAGAAGTAACAGCTAATGTTAATCTTAATTTTTCAAATGAAGATGAATCTAATGCAGCTCCAGCTGAAAAGTAAATAAATCTTATGTTGTTTTCTTTTAAAATAATTAAATAAAATATATATTTAAAATAATTTTAGTTCGGCTGAAGGTACTGCACCAACATTTATTCAAAAACCAATTATTAAACAAGAAAATGATGGCAAGCGTTTAATATTTGAATGTAAAATTGCTGCCGATCCTAAACCAGATTTATTTTGGTCACGGGATGATGTTCCAATAAATGATTCAGGTCGTTATTTAATCTATTGTGATCCATTACCGAACAATTTATATGTTGCCTGTCTTGAAATCGATGATGTTAATGCAACTGATGCTGGAAAATATAAAATTTCAGCAAAGAATAAATTAGGAGAAAGCAATGCACATATTCAATTAAATCTTGATAGTAAGTTATATATTTATAGAATAAAAACATTGTGTTTTACATAGATTTTCTTTTGCCGAAAGGGCGATTGAAAATACTCCGAAGGGGAGAACATCTATTTTTTTTGACAATATAGACAATTAGTACGTGGTGAGAGACACTATAAACGACGGGAGGGTTAAGTCGATCTTCGGAGGAGTCTTGTCTTACCCCTACGATCATTATGTTGGATACAATATTGATAAAATTTTTTTTTTTTTCAAATGATTATTTAGATCAAGAACAAAGTAGTGGTGTTGGTCGACCATCATTTACTGTAGCACCACAAGTACGAATTTTTGAAGAATCAATACTTTTAGAAGGTCTATGTACAGCAGATCCAGTACCGAGTTTTACATGGACACTTGATGGAAAAGCTATTAGTGCTGGAACAAAATATAGACAAGGAATCTTATCTGAAGGAAATTCACATAGAATTTTTCTTGAAATATTACAATTAAATAAAAAAGATACTGGTATATATAAATTGACAGCTAAAAATGTCAAAGGTGATGGTTCAGCTACTATACAATTAAATATTGAAGGAATTGATTTCAAGTTTGTGAAAATAATAAAATAATGTTTGATTTATATTTTAACTCAAAAATTTTTTTTTTTTTCGTTTTTATTTTTATTAGATTACCAGAGGGTCTTGCACCATCGTTTCTTAATAAGCCATCAATTAAACAAGATGCTAAAACAGCTACGATCCAATTTGATATTGCCGCTGATCCAAGTCCATCATTACATTGGTTGAAAGATGGAAAAGAATTACTTAATGTTGATAAAATTATTGCACGTATGACTCGAGCAGGAGGAAATAAATATACCATTTCACTTGATATTAAGGTTTGATTGTTTTGTTTTCTTATAAAAAAAAAATTTTTTTCTTTTGTATAGAATTTAGCTCAAACTGATAGTGGTGTTTATAAATGTACCTTATCAAATGAACTTGGTACAGCTGTAGCTAATATTGTCATTAAAGTTACTGGTAAATTATTAATTGATAATTAAAAATATAAAAAGATAATTTTATACGGATAAATTGATTTTTTCTTCTTCTCAATAGGCGATAAAGCTACTTTGGAGCAATTAGATAGAATAGCTCCAGCATTTGAAAAACCAAAAATAGTGAAAGATGCAAAACAAAAATCAATTAAAATGGAATGTCGTTGTCAAGGAAAACAAGAACCTAAAATAACATGGAAAAAAGATAAAACCGAAATAAAAGATACAGCTAATAAATATAAAATCACTAAAACAAAAGAAGCTAATGATACATATATATTTATTCTTGAAATATTAGTAAGTCTTGTTTTGTTTTTAATATGTCGACAAATTTGAAATTTGGACAATGTTTTTTTTTTGTCATAGCTGGATAGAGTTTATCGGGTTACTATTAAAAAAATTTTGTTTTCAGCATATTAAAATTACGTTAAAAAAAAAAGAAAAGCATAAACTCTCGGTAGTTTAAATAGTTATTCTAACTTTGGTTTTTTTCTTCTGTGTATTTTACGTATTATATGCTTACCCGGATCAATAATTCCGACTGGAAAACTTGGGAAAATGATAGGAAAGTTGAAGGGGAACCTAAATTCCTGTTTACAAGTATCTACCATTGTTCTGAATTTTCTGGTTCGTATTTCTTAGCTTGGAAAAAGAAAACAGTTATATTTTGTTAAGAAAATCGATTTTTTTTCGATATATCCACATTGAATTGTAAACTCAATACTTATAATAAACTTTTGTCCCATTTTGATTCGTATACGTCTTCATTAGGATTTTCGAATATTGTAATCTATACTTCCCCTAAGTTCCGATGCTTAAATTAATTGAATAAAAAATTTTTCTGCTATCATTTCGAAAAAAAATTGATTTTCTCTTCTTCTGATTTTGTTTAAACCTAAGTTTCATTACAAAAACAAATAAATCGACGAACTCTATCGAATTATAACAAGAAAAAAAAAAACATTGATTAAATTTCGAATTATCAACACCTTTAAATACAATGATTTGATTTATTTTCTTTTTTTCGTCTTCAGAATGTTGCTGTAACTGATACGGGTATTTATAAAATCTTAGCTAAAAATGATGCTGGTGATTCTCAAGCATTACTTAATTTAACAGTTGATGCTGAAGCTGAACCACCGTAAGATAATTATTTATTATCAATAGATATTCGAAAACTTTTCTTTTTATTTCATTTTTTTTGTTCTATAGGAAAGATGAAGAAGAGAAAAAACCTAAACCAAAAGAAGTAAATAGTAATAAAATGACAGCACCTGCTTTTACTGATAAACCAAAGGATATCGTATGTATTATATTATATTTATTTATCTGAGTATATTTCTTTTTGCGAGTCTAGGTAGCTACGGATGGTGATAAAGTATTAATTCAATGTAAAGTAACTGGTACACCAAAACCTGAAATTACATGGTTCTTTAATAAAAAAGAAGTTAAACCATCAGCTGTAAGTATAATTTTGTGTATGATTAATATAAGAAAAAAATCACAGATGAAAACAATGAAATAAAACATAATTATAACAATATTCAGCAGAGTAAATAACTCAAGGGAGAAACAGATGATTCTATAATTCTGCCCATCGGAATAAAGGAAGAAAGTTATTGTTATGTAATCAAGTAACAAGTATGAAAAAATTGTATTTCACGGAAATAAGCAGCTCAAATGAACCAAACTGCATTTTTTGACCTAGAAGTTTTAGAAAGTTTTTGTTGAAAATGCTTCGGGTTAAGGGGCATACGTCGAATAGTTTTTCATCCGTCAATGAGATTCTAACAGGGATTTTCTTTTAGCAAATTTAAATTCAGTAAGTTCTCGTCTTGTCAACTCGAAGAAAATAATAATAAGACTTGATTTTCTAATATAATGCTATGTTGAATGATGAGTTGAAATAGAAAATCTCTGCTAAAATATGATTAACTAGAATTTTCTCCATTATTTCAAGGAGAAAATATGTTGTTTTCGGGTTATATGACAAAGGACCGTTCTAAACGTTATTCGGTAAGGACAATACTATCTTATGTTCTTAAAATAACAAAAAAGATAATCATTGTTAACATCTTCTTGACTGGAACTTAACCAGGCATATTTCCAAGGTCTTTTTTTTATTGTTTCAAGTACAAAACATAGTGTTGTCCTGACCGATGAAGGGCTAACGAAAGGTCCTATTTCATATGACATGACAAACATCATATTTTTTCCTTAGAATAATGGAAGAAAACCTTGATAGAATCTGTCTGGTTAAAGAAAAAAATCATCTTGTTTTTTATTTTTCTCTTGTCTGTTATTCGATAACTTCTCAGAATTATCGAAGAGAAAACAATTGATTTCAATAACTCAATAAATTCTGTCTGGCTCTTATACTATAGGATCAGCTGTTTATCCTCTGAATCGATCAATATTTTTCTTTTGTATTAGTCACATATGTATAAATTATTCTCAAGAGTTTATCATTCTTTTTTTTTTTATTAATAATAGGATTATGTACAAGAATATGATGGTACAACAGCTAAATTAACAATTCCTGATGGTTATGTTGATGACAGTGGTGATTGGATGTGTGAAGCATGGAATGAAACTGGTGAAGCAACACAAAATGTTCGTGTAACAATTAAAGGTAAGACAAATAAACATCATATTTTGATATAACAAAAAAAAAACAAATATTATAAATAGAAAAACGTGGTAAAGCAAAACGTGTAAGAAAACCACAACCAAAAACAGCTCCTAAGAAAGATGAAGAACCAAGTAAAAAAGATCAACGAAAACAAGCACTTGAACAACAAAAAGTTCAAGAAACTGGTAAAATTCATATGTCTTTATAATTAATTAAATATTTATTTAAATTTTTTATTTATTTTCATAATAGCACCAGTAGTAGAAACTCCAGCACCAGTAGAAACTGCACCTACCATAGAAACTCCACCCACTAAAGAAACTCCACCCACCATAGAAACTCCACCTACAATCGAAACACCACCTACAACTAATGCTGAAGAAGATGATCGTCGTGTACCTGCGATTCAAAGTAAAATAAAAAAAAATTTTTTTTTTTTTTTAAAAAGAAAAAATTCTTTATATGAATTATTCTAGCTAATGAAGCTGGATATGAAGAAGAAGGTCCACGTCGTGCTAAAACAACTGATAAACCAGTTGATAAACCTAAACGTGTATCACAATCAAAACTTGATGTTATATCAGAAAATTCATCAAGTAAGTTTATAAAAGCATGTTGATTATTATCATGCATGATTACTCAGGTATATCAAAACCACGTGAACGTAAAATACGTGGTCCACTTGAGCCACATACAGAACCACTTGCACCTATTTTTATTGAAAAACCAGAAAATACTAGTGCAAAAGAAGGTAAACATATTAGTATTAGTTAGAAATTAGATTATAGTTAGTATTTAAATATTATGAAAATAATTATATATATAATATATAAACATACAGGACAATCAACATTTGTTGAAGTTGTTGTTGATGGAAATCCATTTCCTAAAGTAACATGGTATAAAGGAAAAGTTGAAGTAGTTCAAGGTGTTAAGTTTACAACAGAAATTGATTCAACAACAGGTATTGCTACATTATCTATTGCAAAATGTCGTGAAAAAGATGAATCACCATATGGTGTTACAATAAATAATGAGCATGGTGAAGCTCATGCTGAATTTCATCTTTATGTGAAAGGTATAAGATTATTAGAATAGAAGAATCTATTGTCGATAATTTATTTATTTATATATATAAATAATATATTGTATATAGCGGCGAAAGGTGATGCAGCAGATTTTCGTGAGATATTGAAACATCGTGATAAACAAAAGAAAAAAATTGAAGAAGAAGAACGAGAACAAATAAATTTAAAACACGTTTGTAAATATAGAAAAATAATTGTTTGATATTGAATAGATATAGATCAGAAAGTAGTAGTTTTTTTTTGTTTTGCATGATTTGTTTAATTTGTTTTGTTTCATTTCTATGATTGTTTTTCTTTTATTATTTTAGCACCACAAATTCGTACTGATCAACCAGAAGAGGTAATGTATTAATCAATCGTAATTTTAAATATAATCTTTAGTTAGAAAATTCCAAAGAACCTAAGAATTTGTGGTGACTTTTTTTATTTTTAAATTAGTATAAGATAGATGAGTGCTTTTATAATTTTATGCGTTATTTTTATTTGTGTTGTTGTGCATCTCTATCTCTCAGACGGGTGCTGATGATAATGGAACTGGTTCACGTCGTTCAAGTACAATGGATGATCGAAGACCATCACTTCGTCGTGTTGATCAAGAAAGTTTACTTAAAGTTAGACGAGATTCTAAAACACGTCGACCATCATTAGCTGATGTTATACCTGATTGGCCTGCTTTACATAAAGTTAAACGACCAGAGAAGGTGAACTATGGAATCACACATTTATATATATATATATATATTTCAATATCAATATCTAAATTGCTTCTGAATGGTCACAAATCGATAATATTCATATTCTAATTTAATGCATGAATATTTTGCGAATGTATGGATTATTTTGTTTTTTTTGGATTTGATTATGCTGCATGAGGCATGAAAATATTGAAATTTTTGAATGAAAATATCTAATAGATTTATGTATTTATATAAACAGGAAAAAGAATCATTTATTGAACCATTACAAGATCTTAAATGTAAAGAAGAAGATGGAGAAATTACATTTCAATGTACGTTTTGTAAATCTAGTTCACGTCTACGATGGTAAAAATTTCAAAATTGATATATAGTAAAGTAAAAAATAACATAGTTTTGTTTTTTCTTTTTATAAGGCTTAAAAACAAAGTTGAAATTTTTCATGGTTTAAAATATCATTTTGATACAAATGGAGCTAAGTAAGTTGAAAATTTTTTTTTTTTTTTTTAATAAAGTCTAAATGTTTAGACAAACATTAACTATTTATAAATTACATCCTGATGATTCAGGAAAATATTTTTGTCGTGTAAATGATGTTGAAACTTCTGCATGGCTTGAAGTTACACGTAAATATTTTGTTTATGTTAATAAAATTAAAATTTTTTTATTTCGTCTTATTCATTTTAGCTGCTAAACCATTATATGATTTTTATAAAGAATTACCAGCTAAAATGGAAGTATTTCGAACAAAACAAACTATACTTGAATGTCACGTTAATGATCCAAATGCACCTGTTAAATGGTTTAAAAATGGAGTTCTTATTGATGTAAGTTTACAAAATAAAAATCTTTATATTCGTATAGAAAAACAAACAAATAACTAAAAAGTCAAATAATCGCAGTCATGCATTGCCGATGCGTAAAACAGAACTCTTTTCCTGATTGAAAATTTTTAGAACTTTTATTCATTTTTTCTTATAATGAATTTCTTGACAAAAAAAAACACATTGGCAATTCAAGTGTCGACTCCCTTAAATGTTCATCTCGCTTCATGAAAAGAAAAGTTTTCAAGCAACTAGACAAAATAACTCTACGATCGCTACAGGATACGCGTTTTTATCCTGATCTGACCTGCTTCATACCCTAAGGATAATCTTGTCTGTAAGGTATTTAGTCGATTTTTAGTTACAATTACTTAAGAGTTACTTTATCAAGTAATTATAATTAAGTGTTTGATAGTTGATCTAAATGACATTATTTTTATTTGATTTTCAAGGTGGTTTGTTGAAATCTATCTCATCAATAAAAGGACACAGATAATAATAATAATAATTGATTTCAATTATCACTTACGTTAAGATAACTAAATCAATTTACTAGATATTATCAGTATAATGATAACTTTTCTACACATTTAAAAAAACTAGTTAATAAAATATGACCAATTCTAATCGAAATCGACAGTAACTTAGTTCCTTCTTTGGAAAATCAACGTCTTTATGTAATGCATTTATCGCTCTATTTTCATAATATGAAAACTCTTAGTAAAAAGAAAAACATCATATATTGTATTGTCCTATTATCATATCGAGACGAACAATACATTGTAACACTGTGACCCGATCTGATTGATAGAAAAAAAAAATTTGTTTATCGCAGATGTCAATTCATTTGTTTTATTAAATGTGTCTGGTAAAAAGATGTTTATTGCTAATCTGCAGTTTTTTCTGGATCGAAGGCGGACAGCATACGAGATATCTTTAATTGACCAAACATTCTGATAACATGAAATAAAGAAAATAAAAAACAGACGGAGATTTCTAATTATTAAATGTAACAAATGACTACCATAATTATTTTTATATAAAGTTCTTTTCTTTTTTTTTTTTAATCACTAAAATAATTTCAATTGTTTTTAGAAACTACATAAACTAATCATGTTTCGTTTATTTTAATAATTAAAATTAGATTAAGGATTTATTTTTATAATTTTCATATTTCATTAGAAAAAAAAGTTTGTAATCTAAACTATTTATATGAAAAGGATCATTTTGATTTAATGAATATACAAATACAAGATAGACATTCAAATATCCGGTGACTTTTAATTAACAATAAATTTTAACATTAATTCTTGAGTTCAACCGAAAAAAAACGCCATTGGATTGGCTCATATTATTTTCAAAAAGAAAAAAGTTAAGAAAAAATGTGACAAATTATTATAAAGAATCATAACAACGATTCTGAATGTTTGATAAAGTTTAACATATATAGAATTATTCTATTCTACCTTACCCGTTAGGTTGATTTCATATCCATACTCAACTACGTCTATATCTGAAAACTTTCTGTTAACCTGGTCCGGATCCTCTATTTTTCTGTTTGAAGCTACTAAAACTTTTTGTTAATTCTATATAATTTACGAAATGAATTTTGTTGTAAAAGTTTCAAGAATGAATCTTTGCTTTTTTTAAAAATTTTATTTAGCTTGAAAAAGATAAACGTATCAAATATCATCAAGATATGACACGATGTATATTTCGAATATTTAAAACAACTAAATCTGATGAAGGTATAATAAGAAAATTTTATTGTCAATTATAAATTAATACATATATTCTTATTTAGGTGAATATACATGTCAAATTGATGATGATCGAGGTGTTAAAACTTCTGGTTATCTTTATGTCGAAGGTATTGAATATATTTTTAAAAAAAAAAAATAATTAATTTTTAAAATACTAATAAAAAATTTATTTGTTTAAGAACCACAATGGCGTTTTGAAACAAAATTACCTCTAACATTAGAAGGTGATGAAAATGATAAAATTGAACTTGAATGTAGTGTACAAGATGAAGATGCTGAATGTGATTGGTTTTTTGCTGGTGATGTAAGTTTTTATTTTTTTTGTATATATATATATTTTTTTTTAATTTCAACAATTCAATGGGGTTTATTTTTTTTTCTATCTTATTCTCAATAGAAAATTTTACCTAATACAAATCCTGATAAATATGAAATTATATCATATGGCAAAGTTCGAAAATTAGTTGTTAAAAAATTAAATCCGAATAATGATAAAGGAAAATATGAATGTAAAACTGGTGTTATGTCAACAGCATGTGAAGTGGGTGTTCGACGTAAGATTTTATATTTTAAAATAAACTTAGAAACAATAATAATAAAAAAAACAAATTTTTTTATTTTATAGCTGCACTTCGTATTGAACGAGGATTAAAAGATGTTGATACAGTTGAAGAAGAAGATATTACATTAGAAGTTGTCTTATCAAAACCAGATTCACGAGGAAAATGGATGAAAGATGGAAAAATTCTTTATCCTGATCAAAAGTAAAAAAACAAAACAAAAAAAAATTCTATAATAATCATTGTGCTTTTTTTTTTTTTAGAACGGTTATGGTTAATGAAGGTAATATTTGTCGATTGAAATTAAAAAGTGTTGGTCTTAAAGATACTGGTGAAATATCGTTTCAATGTGGTGATGTTAGAGATAGTTGCAGAATTGTTGTTAAAGAATGTATGTATAATTTTAATATAATAATAAATTGATTCATATTTATTATAATGAAAATTTTCTAGGTGACAAACCACCACGTATTGATATATCACGAGTTCCAAAATCTGTTACTGTTAAAGCTGGTCGACCACTTGAACTTGAAATTCCTTATGATGCTTTTCCAGCACCTGCTATGGTTTGGACAAAAGATGGAAAAACAGTTCAATCTAGTGATGATTCTCCATGTCAAACAGCTATAGATTCAAAGAAATGCAAATTAAATATGTAAGAAAAATCAAATGTATTTATTGTTTTTGCTACAAATAGTTTTCTTTTTTTTTTTGATTATAGTGAAAAGACAAAACGAGGTGATACAGGCAAATATGAATTAACATTAAGAAATGCTAAAGGCGAAGTTAAAGTTCCAATTGATGTTACTGTTATTGGTAAGATTTATTTTATTTTTTTTCAGTTTAAGTTGTATTGCTTATGGATAGGTCAAATATCGTAAATGTTTCAGAGAAGAAGAATGTTTCTTTATCGATATATCAAATTTCCCATAAAAATAAAAAGAAATGTCGATTACTATAAACATGGCCAAAAAAAAAATTCAGAACACTTGGAAATTTAATATCTTGATAAAAGAAAATTCTTTTCTACTGAAAATTTCAGGATATTCCAAAGATTATTAGACTTATCTATGAGTGGAATTTCAGATCGAAAAGTTTATATTAATTTGAACTTTGTTATTGTTGCGCAGAAATTGTTTGAAAAACAAAAACTTGTTTCATGTTTTTCTCGAGACTAAAGATAACAAAACTGTGAGCAAGCTAAGAAACAGATATAAAATTTTCACGTTAACATCTTTTTCAGACTCTAATCACTAAAAAAAATATCGTTTTATAAAGATCGATTGATTTACTAATTTCTTGTTTTTTATTTTTTTGCATATTTGTTTTAAGATCGACCTGGTAAACCTGAAGGTCCAATGAAAGTAACCGATGTAACCAAAGAAACTTGTGTTGTTTCTTGGAAACCTCCATTGGATAATGGTGGATGTACTATTGACAGATATGAAATCGAAAAACAAGATGTTGGACGTGGTGGTTGGGTACCAGCTGGTGAAGTTAATGGTGATACAACATCATTACGTGTAACTAAATTAGTAGCAGGAAAAGAATATCTATTTCGTGTACGTGCTATTAATAAAGAAGGTGAAAGTGAACCATTAGAAACAGCTGCTGCAACATTAGCTAAAAATCCATTTGATGAACCAACAGCACCTGGTCAACCCGATATATTCGATTGGGATCAAAATCACGTTGATCTTCAATGGAAAACTCCGGTAATTAAAACAAAAACAAAAAAACGAAATTAATTTTGTGAAACATGCTCTAACAGAAGTACATCGAGTAGAAATGTACACCGCTACCTAACAGACACATTAGAAATGATCAGAAGTGTAAACCATCTGGCTGAACCGTCACTACCGCAACAAAAAAATAGATTTTTGGTTTTTATAAGTTTCCGAAATTGCAAATCAGTTTTTAGAGATTTTACCATCTGGTTTCTTATCAATCTGTAGAAGTCTGAGACTTTTGTACCCGATGACGGCAGAGAGAAAATTCTAAATTACATCGTGTTTCATATGTACTTTAACAACTTTTAATAATATAAATCTTTTTTATTCATATTAGGACAGTGATGGTGGTGCACCCATTGAAAGATATGTTATTGAACGTCGAGAAAAAGGACGTGATCAATGGCAAAAAGTATGTTTTTTTTTGATAGCATTCATTTTATCAAAAACAAAAAAAAATCGTTTTCTTTTTTCAAGGGTGCTGAAATTGATGGTAATCAAAATAAAGGTGCTTGTAGTGGTTTATCTGAAGGAAAAGAATATGAATTTCGTGTTGTTGCTCTCAATAAAGCTGGTCCATCCGAACCTAGTGAACCATCAAAAGCAATCATTGCTAAACCACGTTTCTGTATGAAGTTTTTTTTTTTTAATTTTTTATTTTAGAATAATTCTTTTCTTTAGTAAAACCACGTATCAATAAAGTTGGTCTTAAATCAATTACAGTTAAACAAGGTCAAACAATAACATTAGAAGCTCCATATGCAGCTGAACCATTACCAACAATGACTTGGCAACGAGAATCAACTGTAAATTTAATTTTTTTTTTTATTATTTCTTTTCTTAATTTAATTTTTTCTTTCACAGGAACTTAAACCAGATGATCGTACACAAATGACACAAACCGATAAATTAGCTAAACTTGTTATTACAAAATCTGTTCGAGCCGATACTGGTCGATACTTAATACGTTTAGTTAATGATTCAGGAAGTGAAACAGCTGATTGTGAAGTTATTGTTCTTGGTCCACCATCGAAACCACGTGGTCCATTAGAAGTTAAAGGTGTTACAAAATCAAGTGTAACACTTGCTTGGTCACCACCAAAAGACAATGGTGGAAAAGATATTACGTAAGAATAATTAATTTAATTATTTATAAATAACAAAAAAATTTCTTTTCATAGAAATTATATTGTCGAAAAACGAGATAAAAAAAGTGGTGATTGGGTACGTTGTAATGATTCTGTTGATGGTACAGAAGTAACAATAACAAAATTAAAAGAAGGACATGAATATGAATTTCGTGTTATGGCTGAAAATGCTAATGGTGTTTCAGAACCATTAATAACTGATAAAGGTGTTCTTGTTAAAAATCCATTTAGTAAGTTTTTCTAAAATATTTTTGTCTATTTTAATTATTTAAATATTTTATAGCTGAACCCGGTCAACCAGGTACACCTGAATGTGTATCACGTGATCGTGAACATATTGAAGTTAAATGGACACCACCAAGAAATGATGGTGGTAATCCAGTTAAAGGTTATATTGTTGAACGAAGAGAGAAAGCTGGCAAACGACGAGAATGGACGAAAATTAATCGTAGTGATCTTCATAAAGTAAGTTTCTTTTTTTTATTAAAAGCCCGTTATAAAACGAGCAGTGAAAAAATTAGTCGTTAAGACTCATTGTATTATTCCGAAACACAGAAATCTTTAGTAAAAGGCGAAAGATTTTCGTGGGATTGTTTCGGAATCAGAGTTATCGTATGCAGATGATAATCGATGTTTATATACGATATAGACATGCAGAAATTGCATCGTAGAGAATTTTTTTTTTCGTTCCTGTTAAATATGTTATATGTTTTTTTTCTTTCTTCTTCTAGGATACGAATTTTGTCGATGAAAATGTTACAGCCAATAAAGAATATGAATATCGTGTTTCAGCTGTTAATGAAGCTGGTCCAGGTGAACCAAGTGAATCATCTGGTAGTATTCCTGCTAAACCTGAAAAAGGTAAGAAAAAAAAAAAAGTTTATTAATTTTTTTTTTAAGGTCGCTATATTCAAATAATAAATTCTTGGTATTTATGATGATATTTAAAAAAAAAAAAAGAAATAGACAAAATATATATTTCAAGTTTGTAATTAGAAATTTGTTTTTTTTTTACCAATCAAATTTAATATGTTTTCTTCTTCAATAATGATTTCAATATGAACTGAAAGTTGTTTGTTTGAATCTCACAAAGTGAATGATGTTAGCTAATTAATCGTTTTCTAAATTAAAAAAAAAAGTGACTGGATTGTAGGTTATCAATCATGCTGATACCGAATATGAGCATGAAAAATCTCATGAGATTTTTATATGCTGGTTTTCTAGAAAACCAGTTTTTCAGATTAACAAAAAATTTTGATAAAATCCTACAGCGTATGAAATTTGATATACTCAAAAATGTGTTTGGTAAATGTTTTGTCACGCATTCGTGCTCACATTTGGTATCGACAATATGGCTATTGTCTCAACGGAATTGATATCGAGACAAGAGTCGAGAGAGGGATCACGCCCAATGGTTTTTTTTTTGTTTTGTTTAAGATCAAACCGATACCAAAAAAAAAGACTAGTTCTATTAATATCTATTCTAGTTGAAATTTTTGCAAATTCTTACTATTAAATTTTATTTAGAAAAACCATCATTTGATTTAAGTGGATTATTTGGTCCACTTGGTAAAAAAGAAATACGTATTAAAGCTGGTGAACCATTAACTATTGATTTACCAATTAATGGATCACCTACACCAACAATAACTTGGACAAAAGATAGTGAATCTGTTCAAGTAACACGAGAGTATGTTTTTTCTTTTTTATTTTATTTATTAAAATATCTCTAATTAATTATATACATTTAAATTTAGTACACAACTTGAAAGTGATGATGTTCATGCTAAATTACATAAACCATCATCAAAACGTACTGATACAGGAAAATATAAAGTTCAATTGAAAAATGATTCGGGTGAAGATGAATGTGATATTGATGTTATTGTATTAGATAAACCAGGTATACCAGAAGGTCCATTAGAAACAACTGAAACAACGAAAGATAGTGTTTCACTTCAATGGAAACCACCTAAAGATAATGGTGGTGCTGATGTAACAGGTAAAAATATTTTCTTAAAAAAAAAGAATTTTTTTATTTTCTACTATGTTTTTTGTTTATTTAGGTTATATTATTGAAAAATGTCCGGAAAATTCTGATAAATGGGAAAAAGTTCCGGGTGTATTTTCACAACCAAAAGGAACTATTAAAGATTTAGAAACAAACAAAAAATTTAAATTTCGTGTTAAAGCTGAAAATATTTATGGTGTTGGTGAACCATTAGAAACAACATCACTTATAACTGTTAAACCACCATATGGTAAAACAAAATAATATAGATAATGTTTTTTTTCTTATTATAAATTGTTCTTTTGTTTTTTAGATGCACCTGATGCACCTGAAACACCTGAAATCACTGAATATAATTCAACATATATGAAACTTAAATGGGAAAAACCGAAAAAAGATGGTGGAAATCCAATTATTGGTTATAATGTTGAAATGCGTCCAAAAGGTAGTAACAATTGGGTACCATGCAATAGTGTACCAACAAAAGGTACTGAATATATGGCAAGTGGTTTACGTGAAGGACAAGTATATGAATTTCGTGTTGCTGCTGTTAATGGTGCTGGACCAGGAACACCATCAAAACCAACACGAGCACAAAAAGCTGAAGTACCTATATATGCAGCTGATGCACCTGATCAACCAAAAGTTGAAAAAACAACAAAAGATTCTGTAACACTTTCATGGAAAAAACCAGTTAATGATGGTGGAAGTCGTATAACTGGTTATGTTATTGAAAAACGTACACCGGATAGGTTTGTTTGTTTGTTTTGGTCTTATGAAAATATTTTCATAATGATAATTTTATTTATTATTTTAAATAGTCGTGATTGGGTTGATGTTGTTGAATTACCAGGTCGTGATCATTCATATACAATTCCAAATTTAAAAGAAGGTGATGAAGTTTCATTTCGTATTCGTGCTGTTAATGCAGTTGGTCCTAGTGAACCAAGTCAACCAACAGATGCAATTATTGTTCAAGATCAACCAGGTTAAAAGATTATTTTAATTTTTTGTAAATATATATATATATTATTTTATTTTGTATGTTTTCATAAATAGATAAACCATCATTTCTTGATCTACATGGTATTAAAGATATAACAGTTCGAGCAGGTAAAGATTTTGAAGTACATATACCATATAAAGCTACACCAAAAGCACAAGCACAATGGTTAGTTAATGATCAAGAATTAGTTAATGATGATCGTGTTAATATTAAAGTAAAACAAAAAAAAAAAATTTTTTATAGTCAATTAAAAATTGTTTGTTGCTTTTTTTTTTCTTCTTTAGACACTTGAAAATGTTGCAACATTACTTAATCGTAAATCTGAACGAGGAGATTCGGGTATATATAAATTAGTATTAAAAAATACGGAAGGTGCTAGTCAAATTCAATTTCGTGTTAATGTTCTTTCACCACCAACAAAACCAGAAGGTCCACTTGAAGCAACTAATGTTACTGCTGAAGGATGTACATTAAGCTGGAAACCACCGGTATATTTAAGTTTTTTGTCAAAAAATGTATTGCAACTTTTTGGTATAATTAGCATTAAAAAAAAGAAGGCCTAAATGATTTCTGAGGAGTAGTACATTTTTATTATGTTAGATAGCAAAAGTTTACCAAATATCGTATTGAATATTAAAAGAGTTCAGTTCTGAATGAGAAATAAGTTGATAATGTTACATTCAAATTTGCTCATTGGATTCTGTTGACGATGGAACTAGTCTCTCTCTGTAATATAAGGTTTGAAATCAAAAGAAAAACTTGGTAAGACTAGAAAATATTTAAAGCAGTTCGTCCCTTTGGAGCAGAGTTATGACCATTGTACTGAATTTTTGTCCTACTATAAGATATTTACGGAAAAATCAAATAAAGTTCTGTGCGATACTTCACTTTTCAAGGGATGAGTCCGTTTAAATTTCTTCTAGTATAGTCCGTATGGATGAGTAGCTATATTGCTTGACACGTATCCGCAAAGTACTATGTGCAAATCTTAAATATGATGATTCTTGACTAGTCATCCATAACAGCTATTAGTCTCGAGTCATCTATCCGACAGTTTACTAAATATGTTGTGATATACAGCTGCTCTTGTGGTTAGTTACTGTATATGAAGAGCACAAGAACTTTACTATGTAACTATGATATAAATAATTATTTTAATATCATTTTATTCGAACGAAATTCTTAGTTTAGATACTCTAAAATTCTAATTGTACCAAAAAGTTAAAAAATTTAAATCAATAGAAAAATCATTATTATTATTTTTTTTTTTTCTGTTCAACAGAAAGATGATGGTGGTAGTGATATAAAACACTATGTTGTCGAACGTCGTGAACCTGGAACAGATAAATGGGTCAAAGTTGGTCCATCTGTAACAGGCACAACATATGATGTTAAAGGTTTAGAAGATGGCAAAAATTATGAATTTCGTGTAGCTGCTGAAAATGATAATGGTCTTTCAGAACCATTAGTTATTGATACACCAGTTAAAGCTAAATGGCCATTTAAAACACCTGAAGCACCAGGTACACCTGAATGTATTGGTCATACAAGTGATTCAATAACATTACAATGGACACGACCACAAAATGATGGTGGAAATCCAATACGTGGTTATGCTATTGAAAAGAAAGAAAAAGGAACTGATCGATGGATACCGTAAGAAAAAGAAAAAGAAAAAAACAAAACGTTTTCTATCGAAAATAAAATTATTCGAAAATATTTTCGATTTAGTGTTAATCGTGAACCAATACCAAGTGTTGAATATACAGTACCAGGTCTTGTTGATGGAAAAGAATATGAATTTCGTGTTGCTGCTGTTAATAGAGCTGGTCCAGGAGATTTTGGTAAGAAAAAAAAAAAATAGATCTTATTTTATTATATTAATTATTTATATTATAGCTAAAACTGATGGATTTATTCAAGCACGTCCACCTGATGTAGCACCACATGCTATTGGGTTTAGTACATTTAATCCAAGAGAAATAATTGTACGTGCTGGTGAAGATCTTAAAATTTCTGTACCATTTGTTGGTTCACCAGCACCAGAAGTTACATTTACTAAACAAGGTGATGAAATAAAACCTGATGAAAATATTCGTATAACTGTTAAAGATGGTGTTGCTGAATTATTTGTACCTAAAGTAAAAGGTACTGATACTGGTCTTTATACATGTACATTAAAAAATTCTCTTGGACAAGAAACTGTACCAATGAAAGTTATTGTTGTTGATAAACCAGGTTTGTTTTAAATTTTAAATAGTGAACTATAATGAATTGAACTAAATGTAAATGCAATTGATTCATTCGATGTTGTTCTACGTTTTATTAATCTACTTTTGGATACCCAAGTTTTTTTTTTTTTTTTTAATGCAGAACTTCGTTCTCTCGAAAACTATGTAACTAGTGCAACATATTTCCGCTCATGAAAAACTGAATAGGCTCTAAAATATAAGCAAAATTGTGTTGCTACCATCGCTGAGTGACTACATTGTTCGACATGTATCTACAAAGTATTTTGTGCAAGTCTAGATATTATCAGTCATGGAATCACCCTGGTGAAGTGAAAAGTGTCTATTGGTCTTGGATCATCCATTCTATAGCATACTGATTATGTTGTGAGTAGGGATATGCGAGACTAAAGGAAAGAAAAATTGCCAAGACTATAACTGATGCTAAGAGAATTGTTTACTTCAAAATTGCACAAAAAGGTTTTTCTTTGTAAAAGTTAGATACACAATTTTGTAGAACTTGACATATAATTGAATATTTTATATGAAGAGTAAATGATTAAAAAATTGTATTTACAATTAGTCTTATTTCTTATGATTTACTTATTTAATTGTAAAATAAAAATATTCATTTTTTTGTTTTTTTCTCATTGCGATGATGAAAATTTTAGATACACCAGAAGGACCATTAGCAATTTCTGACGTACGACCAGATTCATGTGTCTTAACATGGAAACCACCTAAAAATGATGGTGGTTCACCAATAAGTAATTATATTATCGAAAAACTTGATACGAAAAAAGGTGATTGGCAAAAAGTATCAAGTTTCTGTCGTGTACCATTTTATGAAGTAACTGGATTAAATGAAGGTTCAGAATATAAATTTCGTGTATCGGCTGAAAATATTTATGGACAAAGTACACCATTAGAATGTGAAAAACCAATTATTGCCAAACATCCATTTAGTATGTTTAATTAAAGTTAAACATAATTTTCATTACATAATAATTTTTTATTATTTAGATGCACCACAAGGTCCATCAAATGTTGATGTTGCTAATCAAACTGAAACTTCTGTAACATTAAAATGGGATAAACCAAAAAATGATGGTGGTTCAAAAATAACAGCTTATCAAATTGAAATAAAAAGACCTGATAGTGATGTATGGGAAATTGCAAATGATTATCCAATTAAAGGAAATGATTTTACTATTGATAATCTTCAAACTGGTAAAAAATATGAATTTCGTGTTAAAGCTAAAAATGCTGCCGGATGGGGAGATTATACTGTACTTGATCATGCAATTACACTTAAACCTGATTGTGGTATGTTGATCTTGAAAAAAAAAATAACAAAATTAGAACGAAAATTTTGAATATGTTTTTTTTTTTTTGTTGTTGTTTCTTATAGTTGCACCTTCATCGCCGGGTATGCCTGAAGTGAAAAAAGTTGGTAAAAATTATATTGAATTAGCTTGGACACCACCAACAACTGATGGTGGTTCAAAAATAGTTGGTTATATTGTTGAAAAGAAACCTATTGGAACTGAACAATGGACAAAAGCTGCACCATATATGGTACTTGATGATAATGTTATGATAAATGACTTACCAGAAAATGGTGAATTTGAATTTCGTGTTAAAGCAGTTAATAAAGCAGGTGAAGGTGAACCAAGTTCAACAACTGGTCGTGTTAAAATAACTGAATATCCAAGTAAAGAAATCTTTTGATTTTTAATCAAATAAAAATTTTTGATTATTTTTTTTTTTTTTTTTTTTTTATTAGATGGACGAGCACCAACATTTGTTAAAAAAATAACTGATACAAGTGCACCATTGAATGGTGAAGCAACATTTACAGTTGAATTTGATGGTAGTCCTATGCCTGAACCTAAATGGTTTCGTAATGGTTTAGAATTAGCATCAGGTGGCCGTTATCGTATTAGTACAAAACCAAATGAACCAAAATCAACATTAACATTTACTGAAGCTTGGGATAGTGATAATAATTCTAAGATTGTATGTGAAATTGTTAATCCACTTGGAAAAGATACTTGTGAAGCTGTTTTAATTGTTAAAAGTAAGTTAGAAATAAATGTAGCCACAAAGTATCAACAATTATTAAATGATCCTTGACTAATTACTAATGACTGTTTATCTAGAATCACGTATGCGGAATAACGTTGTGACATACGTCTGATTTTGTTGTTAGTTAGTGTGTATAGGAACTCAAGAGATTGATCATCAGAACTCGGCATCACGCTAGTGTATTGTGAGTTCGCTCATTTTATTGAAAATGTTCCTTAGACATGTAAGTTTAGCCACTGCAGTTGAAGAAAACTTTCGACAGCTTTTAGTTTATCTAATTCTAATTCGTTGTATAGTTCTTCTTTACTTATAATAATGAAGTACTACTTCAAGTCTTTGATGTTTATGTAAGAGTTTCAAAAACATTGTATAAATCTATTAATCCGATAGAATGAAAAATAAATATTTTGAGCCTATGATAGTCGAATTTTGAGTAGACTGAAGTCAAGTCAAATTTTTTTTGACTCCGGCATCTATGACCACGCTGACCTTCTGTTCTAGAACTACAACTAATATTAGTTCTGGGAAAGATATCAGGCAATTGAATCTGCTGTTAGACAGCATTACATATCACAAGGTAGCCGAAAAGTAGAAGTAGTCTTAGAAAGAGTTCAAATAGTGAAAAATCTTTTCAGCAAGATCATAATAAAAAAAAATGTCGAATATTTACGCATTCCATGTGCTGAAAATGAAGACTTTAACTTTCCAGAGATCATCTCTTTGAAAATCATTAATAATCATTTTAATTTCATTAGGTATTCTATCTATATAGAAAAAGAAATAAATTAATAGTTTCAGATAGAAATTAAATTATCATAATAATAATTTTGTTGAATTATACAAATTTTATTCAACTTATTTCAATATATATAATTCATTCTAATCATTATTTTTTTTTTTAGCACCACCAAAACTTCCTCGTGAACCAGAAGATCAACGTGTTCCATTGGGTGAAACATTAAAAATTAAAATACCCATTAATGGCAAAGGTCCATTTACATTTAAAATAAAAAAAGATGATGAACCATTAGCTGATAGTGATCGAGTACGTGTTCAAGAATTTGATGATTTTATTGTTGTTACAATACCTGGTTTGTATTATATTTTCATACTTAAATATTTATTTATATATATATATAAATTTCTATTTCAGATATTGAACGTGATGATGCTGGAAAATATTTAATTAATGTTGCTAATGAATCAGGTTCATGTAATGTACCATTAAAAGTTAAAGTTATTGGTAAATATAATTTAATTTAAATCTCAAAAACAAAAAAAATTTCAATATTTATTTTCTTTTTGTATTAAATAGCACCACCACTACCTCCAACTGGTCCACTTGAAGTATCAAATGTATCAAAAGATCGTGCAACACTTTCATGGAAACCACCGAAAGATGATGGTGGAAGTCGAGTAACAGGTTATATTGTTGAACGACGTGATACATCAAAAGGTTCTGATGCTTGGATACCTGTTACACAAGCATGTAAAGAAACAACATTTACTGTTCCATCATTACTTGATGGACATGAATATGAATTTCGTGTTATGGCTATTAATGAAAATGGTGTTAGTGAACCATTACGTACATCATCACCAGTTGTTGCTAAACTTCCATTTAGTATGTATTTGAAATATAAAATTCAAATTTATTTGTTTTTTTTTTTCTTTATTTGTTAATAGAACAACCGGGTGCACCAGGACAACCACAAATTAATGAAATAACAAATAGTAGTATAGCACTTACTTGGGATAAACCAAGTTCAGATGGAGGTAAGACAAAAGAAAAGAAAAAAACGAGAGAAAAATTTGATTGAATTTTTGTGTGTTGTCAGGTGGCCCAGTAACTGGTTATTATATTGAAAAACGTGAAGAAAATACTGATAAATGGATTCCAGTAAATATGTCACCATGTCAATCAACACATTTAACCGTTCCATCATTACTTGAAGATCATGTTTATGAATTTCGTGTTATTGCTGAAAATGAAGCTGGAAAAGGAACACCATCTGAACCATCGAAATCAACAAAAGTAAATAAATCTTTCCTTTTTTTCTTTGTTTATATTAATATTAATAAATAAAATTTTTATTTTTAATATTTAGGTTAAAGATCCAAATACATCAACTTCACCAGAATTTCTTAAAAAATTAAGAGATACTGAAGGTAATGAAGGTAAAACAATTCGTTTAGAAGCTGAAGTTATTGGAACACCAAAACCAGATATTGAATGGTTCGTTTGTTTATTCTTTTTTTTTAAAATCATCTAAATAAAAAATTTTCTTTTTCTTTTTTTTGTTAATAATTAGGTACAAAGGTACTAAAGAATTATCTGATGGTCCTAAATACAGTATTAAACGTGAAGGCGATACATGTACATTGGTTATAAATAATGTCACACCCGATGATGTTGATGAATATAGTATTAAAGCACGAAATAAAGGTGGTTCAAGAATGTGCCGTTGTAATGTAAACGTTCGATGTAAGTTTAAATATATTCATAAATTTTATGAATTATTATCTTTTTTTTGTGAAACACGATCTAAAAGGATTGTTGCACTATATGGACCATTGTCGTTACAATGGAACATATCTCCGATATTTCATTTGACTGTGTACAAAGGTTATTTTTCTCAATAAGTTGTTTTAGTCTAGACATATATATATATATACAAATCTTCGATTTTTCAGATGAGTATTAATTGAAATTAATTATTAATTAATCCCTATTAATTAACTAATTAGTGTTAATTAATTCTGATTAATTAAAAGTTGACCAGCGAATATCTACTTTATCATATGATAGAAAAATTTGCAAATTTCAAGATAGACTATGGAAAGAACTGCATCAATGATGAAATTTTCATTAGAAACGAACTCAAAAAAAAAACGGTTTTGTTGAGACTGTACTTAGTCTCGAAACAAAAATTTTGAACTTCTTATTTGATTATAAGAGCATTTTTTCGTTTGTATATTTGTACTCTGTCACATCGTTAACACTCCTTTGAAGAAAGGTCTGTAGCGCTGATTTTTTCAGAATATTTAACATATAACAATCAATTACATCTGGTTGTAATATACGAACTACTACTTTATTGCACTTCTGGAAGGATAACGTAAAAAATTAGTAAAGAAATGTGTCCCAAAATATAGATAGAATAAAACAATCTCCTTATGTTACATCGTGTTTCACATCTTAATTCACCAAGGATTCTATTAATCGCTTTTATAATTTATAGCACCACCAAGATTTCGTTTACCACCAAAATATCAAGATGTACTTAATTATGATAAAGGTGAACCAATTGTTATTAAAATACCTTATACTGGAAGTCCATTACCAAATGTAACATTAACAAAAGATGGACAAGATCTAACAAAAGATAAAAATGTATCAATTGATGTTAGTGATCGTGCTATTACATTAACTATTCGAAATACAGATAAAAATACTACTGGACCATATACAATAAAATTAGATAATAATTTAGGTGAAGATGAAGCTACATTACGTATTCATGTATCAGGTAAAACAAAAAAACAAGAGATTCATTTTGTTTTGTAATTAATGATATGATATTTTATTCTTGAAATAGATGTACCTGGTGCTCCACGTGATGTAAAAGTTGATTCAGTTATGGATGATTCAGTTGCATTATCATGGCATGCACCAGAAGATGATGGTGGTAGTTATATAACACATTATCTTGTTGAAAAACTTGATCCTGATACGGGCAAATGGGTTAAAGCAGCAACAAGTCGATTTCCACGTTGTACTGTTGAAAATTTAATACCAAATAAACAATATCAATTTCGTATTTTTGCTGAAAATGTTTTTGGTGCTGGCGAACCATCAGAACCAACAAAACCTGTTCAAACTACTGGTAAATATTTCATATATTGAAAAATAAAAACAATCATAATTTTGTATTTTATTTTAGAATCGGATGAAAATCGTAGACGACGTTTAGGCAAAGATGATGATTTATCACGACGACGAAATAAAGATTTACCTAAATTGGATAATTATGATCGATGCTGTACGTAAAATAATCTAATGAAAATATCAAGTTTATTGAAATTATTTAGCATGTAGAGATGTGCGAGATCAATTTTGAGACTGAAGTCGAAAAGTTAAAATTGTAGTTAAACTTCTTGTTTTAATGAATTATGTCAGAAAGCAAATTAATCAGAACTCAATTCAGGAGAAATGATGAAAAAGAAATGATAGTCATCGACTGAATACTTAAGATCTTTGTTTTAAGATTTATTGCGAATGAAAATAGTTTTTGCTAAGGTAAGATCAGAGTTAAAAAAGAATCTAAGATTTGCTATTCAGGATTGTATTTCCACTCATATTCGCACCAACTCGATTGCCTGTGTCCAAATATTTCCTCTCGATTTCAATCATTTTTTTTTTTGGCTATAGATACTTCATAGTCTTCTAGAAGAAAATTCTAAAGTGCTTTGAATTTACATTTAGATTCGTTGAAGTTAACAAATTTTTAATATGTCTATTTCCATGAGATCTTTGTAAGAGCATAAGTTTTTGGAAAATCATCTTTTTGAAATTTACTCTGAAACTATCTTGTATACTAGATCTTTAATTGAACTTAGTTTTAGGACAAACTTAAAAAAAGAAGATTTTCCTCAAAATCTGAGTCAATAATTCCACAATTGTCCATAGTAGACCTCTAGAAATACTTGAGTAATCGAATATCCTCTTCTGTCTAATCTCGACTAGATATGCGTAAGCTAGTACCGAAAGTGATTATGTACGATCCCACTTATCATTATATATAGTTCATAAGAAGTATAATGATAGTTTTAAACAAAATAATAAATAGAAAAGATATTTAATTCAATTTTATTCTAGTCTGGGATATTTGGGATAAAGGCCGACAACCACAACGAGCTACACTTAAACATGGAAGTATCTATGATTATTATGATATTCTTGAAGAAATTGGACGGTAAAATTTTTTCTTTGACTTTATTTCAAAAGAGAAAAAAAGTTTTCTTTTTCTTTCTTTTTTTTGTTGTTATAGTGGTGCATTTGGTGTTGTTCATCGTTGTATTGAAAAAGCTACCGGAAAAACTTATGCAGCTAAATTTATTCCAACATTAACACCAGCTGATAAAGCAACAGTTCGTAGTGAAATTGAAGTTATGTCAGAATTAAATCATCCAAAATTACTTCATTTACATGATGCATTTGAAGAAGATGTTGAAATGGCTATGGTTACTGAATTTGTTGCTGGTGGTGAATTATTTGATCGTATTGCTGATCCAAATTATAAAATGACAGAAGCTGAAGCTATTAAATATATGAGACAAATATGTCAAGGTCTTCAACATATGCATGAAAATAATATTGTTCATTTAGATTTAAAAGTAAGATTTAATATAATAAATAATAAAAGAAAACTATAATAAATAATTATTTTATTTAGCCGGAAAATATTATGTGTGAAACAAAAACAAGTACAAATGTCAAAATTTGTGATTTTGGTTTAGCAACAAAACTTGATCCAAATGAAGTTGTTAAAGTTAGTGCAGCTACAGTTGAATTTGCTGCACCTGAAATTGTTGAACATGATGCTGTTGGATTTTATACAGATATGTGGGCTGCCGGTGTTCTTACATATGTTATGTAAGATAAGAAATACAAAAAGAAATGTTTTTTTTTCTTTTCTTCTTTTAATATCTTTTTTATTTTATTTTAGTTTAAGTGGTTTATCACCATTTGGTGGTCAAGATGATAATGAAACAATGGATAATATACGTAAATGTAATCTACGTTTTCCAAATGAAGTATTTGGCGGTATTTCTGAAGAAGGAAAAGATTTTATGCAAAAACTTTTATTAAAAAATCGAAAGTAAATTATTTAAATATTTATTTTTATTTATTTATTTTTGTTTTCTAAAGTGCTCGAATGACAATTCATGAAGCCTTAGATCATCCATGGTTACGTGAAGATCGTCCTGAACTTGATTCACGTATACCATCAAGTAGATTTGATGATATTCGTCGACGTATTCGAGAACGATATGTATGTTAAATGAAATTATTTTAAATATATATATTTAACAAATAAAAAAAACAAAAATCTATTGAATTTTTTTTTTTATAGGCTGGATATCCAGATCCTATTATTGGTCTCGGCCGTATGGCTCATTGGAGTTCACTTAGAAAGAATAGAGCACAAGAATACAATATTTATAGTAGCTTCTGGGGTAAGATTTTTCGCTTGTTCTAAATTACATCAAATAATAATAATAATTTAGATCGCCGGGAAGCTGCCCCACGCTTTATCATCCGTCCTCATAATGCTCATGTTTTAGAAGGTAATAATGCTGAATTTGATTGTCGTATTATTGCTGTCTCACCACCTGTTGTCTCTTGGTAATGATTTTTTTTTTCTTTCTTTCAATTAAAATTCAAAAAATAACAATATATATTTTTAGGTTCCGTGATAATGTTGAACTTCGTCAATCAACAAAACATCTTAAGAAATACGATAGAAATAATTATAAACTTGAAGTTAAACGATGTATACCAGATGATAAAGGCGAATATGTTGTACGAGCATCAAATAGTTATGGTGACAAAGAATATGCAGTCTTCTTGACAGTTGAACGTAAGTATTGATGATAAAATAATATAGTTAATTACGTCATCATTCAACAAGTGTAGGCCATCTGTATCTCAATGCGTTTAGTTTAAATATGTCAACACATATTAATAAATGTGCTTACGAAAAAAATTTCTTAGCAACTCTAATTTTTTTGACCATCAATCTTTCGTCTCATTGAATAGATTTTTTGTCTTGCTATATTATCTTACAAATTTCTCTGTATATATATATATATCTATATTGAGAAAACGTGTGTGTCCTTGATTTATTTTGATAAATAGAAATGTTTCCTACATAAGTTTCTCGTATTGTTTTGTTGTTTTATCATTTTCTAAGAATTAATTGTTATTACACTTGTTTGTCTATTGGACATTGGAGTTATCACAAAAAAAAAAGCCTTAGTCTATTTGACATATAACATACGGTTATAAATATTGTGGACAATTTGGTACCGATATTATTTGTCTCATGAGATGAGTACCATATAAAACAAAACGAGACAGCTTAAGATCATTTATGGACAAGTAACATGATATGAGCTACATTTATGTTTCTTTTACTGGCTTGTTTGATACATTTTTTTTGCTTGTGGTTATAGATGGCAAGAGTAATTAACGATAGAAAAATTGGTGTGCGTTGTTTTTGTTGGTTTACGATGACTGTCAAGAATATTCTTCCATTAAAGGGTATTTCCTGAGAAGAAAGAGGATAGAATTATTGTTGTGTTGTTGTTGTTTCAGCTTCGTTCGTATATACTCGCGTCTATATACGTTGATGATATTATTCAATTCGGACCAATACCAACGAGACAAATCAGACATGATCTCTAATATGTTTTTTTTTGTGTTTGTATTCTAATAGAATCAGCATGAGAAAAAAACGAGGCTAACATATGTGACGCTAAACAATTCTATCGTATTTCATGCGGTGTAGATAGTCGTTTTTAGCTTATTTGTCGTACGTTATTCTTTTCTTCTTGCTTTATCATAAATCTAATACAACATATTAAGATAAAGAGAGAGATGGATCATAATTATTATGGTTCATCTTCAAATTATTTAAAATATATCCGTACACCAACACGTTATCATATATATGAATCTCCATCAATATTTCGTTTACTCTATCGACGATTTTTTCGTCGACTCTATTCATTTCAGCCATATTGTAAGCATATATATAACTATTATATAATAACAATTTAGAAATAAATTAATAATGAATAAAATAATTATTTGATTTATTTATTTTTTTATAATTTAATTAGCTTTACCTGTAACAACCATTATTGAATATCATGAAGTTAGTTATTCACGACATTTAACATATAATGAAATTGATTTATGGCAAGAACCTGATTCTAAACCTGTATTTTCATTTAATCTTCGACCACGTCTTATTCAAGAAGGCATTGGATGTAAATTAATTTGTTGTGTTAATGGTAAACCTATACCAAAAGTAAATCATATTTTATTTTATTTTTAAAGACAAACTAGTTTTGAATTTTTTTTTTTTTTTTTTTAAATAGGTACAATGGTTTAAAGAACGTACACAAATAAGCGATGCAGATTCTCATTATGTAACATCGCATGTACATGGTGTATGTACATTAGAAATTTCATCATGTGAAACATCTGATACTGCAATGTATCGTTGTTCTGCAGAAAATCCATTAGGCACTGATGAAACATCTTGCCTATTGTATGTCGAAGGTATATGAAAGAATTTTATTTTTTTATTTGAGAAGTGATTGTAAAAAATGAATTCATTTTGTAGAAGTACGTCGAACACGACGAGCTCATTCAACTCGTCCAGGAGATGGTGATACACAAGGACATGTAGGTCGAACACGTTCACCATCACCTTTACGTACATCAGGCAGAGATGAAAGCTGGCGCAATAAATTAGGTGCCGGTGAAAAACCTGCTCAACGTGAAGCACTCGACGTTGAAAAACCAAGTATAAGACTTTCTTTTTTTTTTTTCTTACAAAAAAAATCAATTCTATAATAATTCTAAATATATTTAGAACGTAAAGAACGTCGAGACCCACCAAAATTTATTGATCAACTTGTTGATATTACTCTATTCGAGGGTACGAATAATTATCTAATTCTACTTTTTTTTTTTAAATTTTGTTGTTAGACACAACCTAACAGAAATGTTGAAGTATTCGAATAGAAATTTTGAATCACTTTCCTCCCCCAATTACAGACTGCGATAGATATTTTAGCAATGTTCTATGTGAAAATACCGGGTTTAATTTTAGTGGTTAACTGATCACTATGATCGGCGAATCTCATATTGAAAGAGAAAAATCCTGTGTTAGCTCAGAGAGTACCATTTTGTTTTTGTTTTTTCACACATTAAAATTATCTCATAGGTTAGTTCAGCATATGAATTATATTTGTACTAATATATTTTGCTTTCTAAGTAGATAGAGGCCTATCTCAGAAGAACTGATTCGTTAAGTTGTAAACAATGAAAAATCAAGAAGACGCTCTAAACTTGATCTAGATTAGGAGATATTTTCATTCTATGTTGCCTACATCTTCTTCAAATAAGATCATAAGAGTTTCTTCGTTTTCTCTATAATTATACTCATATTGAAGTTGTTTTTCTTTTCTGTGGATGTTAGTCATGTATTATAGATTTTTCTTTCGTGTTATATGTATATGATAGACTTTTCATTTTCTTTATGGTCTTGCGAACTGTTCGAAAACTGCAATATTTTCTGCTTGACTTCTGTTTCGATACTTCACTGCATGAATATTTTTACACTCTTAGAAAAATATTAGATTTCACTCGAAACCGAGCCATCTGTATTAGTCACATCGACTGTTTTTGTTTAATTTTTGAATTTGATTATTTGATAAAAACGAGAAATATTTTTCAAGTCCTTTAAAACTGATAGAATTGAGTAGCTTTAGTGCTCTGATAATGTTAATGCATCTAAACTGTCTGTACTAACGACAGAGCCTAAATCAACTACAGTTCTAAGATAATTCTTTTTTTAGTAAAATAACGGATGTCCCAGAAAGAATGGGCCTCCCAGTATTTTTAAGATTTCTCGTCTATTATCCGGATGATTAAAGTCCTTTTTATTATCAAACGATAGCGCTTGAAATTCTCTACAAAATCATATAAGATTAGGCTCAAAGACAGTTTTAGATATATTTGGAAAAAAAAGAAAACTAAAGACATAGAAACAGCTGTAAAAAGTAAATAACGGGTGTTCCATAATAAAGTGCCGCACTTTGCATTTCATATTTTGATCTCTAAATACGTTTTATTGAAAAAACAAAATATACCACTAGACGCAAATGTGGAAAGCTCTACAATCTACAAACTAAAGTTTATTCTAATTATATACTTTTTGTTTTCAAAAAAGGCAAAACTCTGTGTGACCAATTTTCGTCATTGTGAAAAAATAATTTTTTTTACACGAACGAGCATTTCTTTTTCTTATTTTATCTTTTCATCATCTAATGTGTTTTCTTAAAAACAGCAAAATATACTACAAGATGCAGCGTGAAAAGATCTATAGTTTACAAAGAGCAATTTATTTAATTTCTGTAGTTTTTATGTTAAAAAAACTCCAAATTTTGTGCAATCGGTTTTCGCAACGGCGAACATCGGTCGCACAGAGTTTTGCTTCTTTTTTTTCGAAAACAAAAAGTATACAATTAAAAGAAACGTTAGTTTAGATTGTAGAGCTTTTCACACTGCATCTTGTAGTATATTTTGTTTTTTAATAAAACGTATTTAGAGATTAAAATATGAAATGCAAATTGCGGCTATTTCTTATGGATCACACATTTACTTTTTACAGCTGTTTGTATGTCTTTAGCTTTCGTCTTTTTTCAAATATATTTAAAACAGGTTTAGGCCTAGTCATATATGGTTTTGTAGGGAATTTCAAGCGCTATCTTTTGATAATAAAAGGGAGCTTTAATCACACGGATAATAGACGAGAAATCTTCAAAATACTGTGAGACCCATTCTTTCTGGGACACCCGTTATATTTTGAAACTGTTCTCTTTTTTTTATTAATTTGAATTCGGATAGAAAAACACTCTCCGCCATCGTTCACAGATTAAACATGTGATATGAGAAGATTTAACTGATTGGAAAAAATTTGACATCATCTGACAAATTATATTGTGGCGTATAAAAATCAACTTGTTCGAGTAGCAATCGATCTTTTCAAGATGGAAAAGTCTAATTCAATAGAAAAATTGTTAAACAAAGACAAATTTTTGAAAAAAAAAATCATAATTTCTCTAAGTTTGGTATTACACAGAAACGATCGATTTTTATCAAAAAATAAATTCCATTAAACGACCACAATTTTTAGCAGTTTTCATCACAGTCAGTGGCATACTTAGTCATGAAGCTAAAGTCTTCTTTGAGATGATTATGAAATAAAGTTGAATTTAAGATATATGCCTTTGAACACCTTTCCAAACCCATTCTAACATATCACAAATTGCACCTTGCATCACGGACATATTAGTACAATAGAAGTCACAATCCGAAGCATATGCATTATGTTTCATATTTTTTATCTCGTAGAGATAATTGCACTAACAACTTTTTTGTTTTGATTAGGTGCAATAGCGAAATTACGCTGTGAAGTCAAGGGTAAACCAACACCAAGAATAAAATGGTTAAAGAATGGCAAGGTAAACTCTTATAGAAATTTTGTTATTCTTTTGTATTGAATTAATATTTATTTTGTTAGCCCTTGGCTACTGAATCTCGAATTGAACATACATACGAAGATGATATAGCAACATTAGTTATTAAAAAATTAAATTTAGAAGATAACGGAGAATATACTTGTCGAGCTAACAATGAAGAAGGCTCGGAGTCATCAAGTGCACAAATTACTGTTAAAGGTATTTTATATTAAATTCATATATTGAATTTATGATCAATATTTATCATCATATAGCTCATGTACGAACTGAAGATGAAGATGTTTATACTGCATCAATGGCTCAAGAAGAGCAAGTTGCTGTTCAAGCTGAACCACAAGCAGCAAGTGTCGATACTACTGCTTCGGTAACTGAAGTTGCTAGTGACACAGCTGCTAAAGTTGAAGAAAAACTTTCATCAGAAGCTGTTGCTCCAGCACCTGAAACAACAAGTGTTTCAACAGAACCAACACCAGCTGAACCTGCAGCACCTGCTCCAGTAGCTGAACCAGTTCCTGCTGCTGAACCAGTACCAGAACCAACACCAGCACCAACACCAGCACCTGAACCTGAACCTGCTAAACCAGCTGCTGGTAAAACTACACCAGGTAAAAAACCAGCTGCTGAACCTGAAAAGAAACCAGTTGGAGCTGCTGCTTTGAAAAAACCAGAACCAGCTAAGAAACCGGAAGAAAAGAAAGAACCGGCTAAAAAACCTGAAGAAAAGAAAGAACCAGCTAAAAAAGTTGAAGAAAAGAAAGAACCAGCTAAAAAAGTTGAAGAGAAGAAAGAACCAGCAAAAAAGGTTGCTGATGATAAAACAAAAAAACCAGCTGCAGATGAGAAGAAAAAGGTTTGAAACAATAAAATAATTAAATTATACAGTTTTTTTTTTTATTCGTTTAATTAAATGTGTATATAGGCAGAAGAAAAACCGACAGCTGCTGCTCCTCCTGCTGTTGAAGAAGTAGCACCACCAGCTGAAGCCGACAAGAAAAAAGACGAGGTTGAAGTAAAGAAAAAAGAAGAAGAAGAAACACAAGAAAAACCAGCCGAATCAAAATTGAAATTCGTTAAATATATTAAATCACAAAATTTAATGGAAGGTGATTCACTTACGCTTGAATGTGCTTGCAATGGTTAGTATTTTAATTTCTTTTCTTTTTTTTTATCTACAACTTTTATTGATTTAGGAACTGACGATGACCTTGAATTATTATGGCTACGAAATAATAAAGAAATCCCTGAAAACCCAGATTTTCGTCGTGAACGAACAGGAAATACATTTAAATTAGTTGTTGCTGAAGTGTAAGTATAGAAAAAAACAAAGGAAGATCTTTACTATATATTGATTACTAATTTTTCATTTGAATAGATTTCCCGAAGATTCAGGTGTATTTTCAGCTCTATTAAAAAATAAATCAACAAATGATCAACTACTTGCTTGTTGTTCAGTCATTATTCAAGGTAAATAAATATTTCGAAAAAAAAAAACAAACAAACTATTTAATACATCTAATATTTTTTTTTTCTTTAAGCTCGAGATGAAGATCCACTTGATCCTAACTTTGTTCAATTTCCACAAAGTGCTACTTTAGAAGAAGGCGGTAAAGCTAAATTTAATTGTAAACTTTCCGGATCAACACCAATGACTGGTAAATAAGAAATAAATCTAATGAAGAAACGATCACAAATGTAACACACTGTTTAAGCTCATATCAGACTCACAAGCAGAGATGGATAACTCCATGTGTCACAAAAATCAAGTTTCTTTGCAGTAGCAGATCTGGAGTTTTTAGAAAGCGGGAGGGGAACGATCATGATCATTAGAGGTCTTACCGGCTCATTTTTGAACGTTTTTTGTTGAGAAAAATTGCAAAATATTTCGAAATAGAGATGCAATCGGCTTTCTCTTAATTTGCCACTGTGTTTTTGAAAATACAATTATTATAGATTAGTACGGGAAGACTTCCTCTATCTAATAATGTATACATTATCAGATTCTATTACGTACTATTGAGATGTTATTAGGGCGAGTCATCTCGATCGTATCCGATTGTACTTACGGCGAATGTTATGATGCCCTCTGCTAAGGCAATCAAACTTGATAATATATACATCATTAAATAAAGGAAGTCTTTGTCTAATAACTTATATAGATCCTATTTGTGAATTAAAAGCATATAGTCACCTTTCAAGATATTTTAAGGCATATTTAGAATTGATCGAGTCTTTTTAATTGATCTATTTGACATTTTTATCGGACCGGTTCAGTTCCCAAGGAACGAATCCTTTTAGACTTTTTCTAATCTTACTAAAACTTCTCTATGTGCCCAATATGAACTCAAATAGTGAGCTACAACTAGGGTAATTCGCTTATAAATTCTAATTTTTGTTTTATTTAATAGCTGAATGGAATTTTAATGGTAAACCATTGGATCGTGAATCAAGTCGATTTGTATTTACTAATGGTGAAAAAGAATTTTCACTTGAAATTCCTGTTGTTTTGGCAACAGATCAAGGTCAATATCATGTCACTGTTTCAAATGACAAAGGAGAAATAACAGCTGCATATAGTTTACATGCTGAACAAGCATGAAAATTAGATAAATAATTCAATGGAAATATTATTGAGTATTTATTTTCATAACAACAATATATACAACGAACATGATTGTTTATTAATTTTCTTCTATTTGTATTTTTTTTTTGAATACCTTTGCCGCTCAACCTATGTTCTTGATTAATTTGTCCGTGTTTTTCTCCCATTTAGCAAATTTTACGCCTGACCTTCCTTTGCTCTCTCTCTCTTTATTTACAAGAAAAATCGTGTTCTTTGATGTGTGCGTGTGTAAATTGTTGAAGCCTTAATTACCACGATGAAAACAAATACAATGAAAATTAGTCTAGTCGAACAAATAAAGTATTAGACTAACCTTGAGGTTATTCGATTAAATAATTATGTCTTTTTCTTCTCTTTTTATTATTATTTTTTTTTTCTTTTCTTTTCTTTTCTTCATCATAATAAAAACAAAAAGGAGAATAATTTGAAAAACAAAAGTATTCAAAAATAACAATCAAATAAACATAGCACTAAAGGGACTTTTTTACATATTGCCAATAACGATTAAATATAGCAAAAACATCACTTGTATCGCCATGATGTAAACCAGCAGCGCAAGCAAATGATTTTGGATTTTCAAAGAATTTTTCACAACTACCTTGATAACGAATATTATAATCAGACATCGGTTGACGTCGAAGAGATAAATAATCTGGTAAAATACCTCTAAAAACAAACATTATTTATTAATTTTCTTAAGAATTTATATTATTTTAAACTTACGTTAAATAAACATCGGAGATTCTAAATGGTCTATTTGGATCTTGATAAGATGCATAGACTAGAGCATCTCGTGCTTTTTTTGGTATTAAATAACCAAAACCGGATAAAAAGTCAGGATAATGTGTACATGGAAATTCATCTAAAGTAACAACATAACGAGCTCCAACAGGATCATTTGCTTGACGAAAAACTCCTGGATGATAATGTTTATAACCATATATATTCATGTCTGATATACGAAATGAATTATTTGTAGTTTGTTGATAAAATGGTGAAATAAATTTTAAAAGTAAAATTAGATTAATAAATATATCATCATCAGTTTTAAATACAAATTTTGCTTGACGACAATAACGAAATGACCATTCAAATATAGATAAAACACGATATGTAACTAATGTATATTGTGGTGGTAATTCAACTTGTATTATATCATGAAATAAGTTATTTTCAAGACGAATATTTGAACTTAATTTTTCATCAAAATCAATAAGAAAAAATATTTTCATATTTATTGATGAATAATTACCAAGATTTTCACCTGATCCCCATGTTCGACGAATAGCATCACGAGTTTTATAATTATCTGATTTAGATATAATTATTATAACTAAATCAATTGATTCACTTGAACATGCATCAGAATTATCTATTGTAAATGAATGAAGAGTTCTATGTTGATTACGACGAGATAAAGAAATACGCGAATGATTCATTTGTGGAGTTACTGTTGTTGATAATGATCTAAATAAATTAATTTTATATAATTGTTAATATATGAAAAAAAAAAGAATTCTTTTCAACAGAAAGTATTTTTCTCTATATTCGCTGACTATTTCTACTTTTAGAATGTTATAAAGGTAAATAAAAATGAAATTATGATTAACATTGTTCATAGCAATGAAATATTTCTCATAGAACATTGTGAAAGAGTTGTTATGAATCTGTCAGGATGGATGATGATTTCAATATTTTAACTATAACTCATGTAGTTTTCATCGTATCAAACTGGTTTTTTGTTTTCAAAACATCTATTATTCAATTTTATAGAAATTCAAATAATGATAATTTAGATTTATTACACTTCGTTTGTCAAAAATTCCAAAACTAATGTTTTAAATTCCGTGAAAATTCGAAAAAGATCATCAATTAATAGATTTTCTGAATAGCTACAAAATGTATCTATTTTTCATAAATTTAAATTTGTTAAAAGATAATATAAAAATTGAAGAAAACAATTTTTTAGCCGAGAAAATTCGTTCTTCTTAGGATATATTAATGTTCCAATTGACATTTTCTGGAAAAACTTTTTATAAACATTTCCTATAGATTTGAATGGTAAAGCTATTGGCAAAATATTTTGTTTGATAAGATAAGAACTTCAGAACTTAAAATGAAAATACTGAGATCATCATTTGTTCTGTTATATCTATTATGATAGTCTTATGATGTTATAAACAGTAAGAAATTCTAGATTTATCTACGTATATAAATAAACCAAAATCGTTGTAGATATTTCGATTATACAAATGAATATTACCAGTAATTACATGTTAATATAGCAAGATATCTTTTATTTTATTTATAAATCTAATGTAAAGTTTCTTCAAATTTGTAACACGATCCATTGTCAATGATTATTCAATAATTTGATAAATTATTATCATAGTTCAAGTTCTATTCTATTAATTTTTATTCGAAACTTGCAAAATTATATTAACCTCCTCTTTCAGAATAAAAAGCCGTAATCTTCTATGGTGAGCCAATATTTTCCTAATTTTTTAAAAAATTTTTCTAATATTGAAATTTATGTTATTAACAACTAAGTGCCAGAAAACGAGGTTTCTTACTAGGCAAAAAAAGTAGTCCTAATTATATAAAAACACCTATGATCTTTTATTATGGCTTGCGAAATTTTTCTTGACAATAATCTTTCATTCTAAAGGTAACAATCTATAATATCAGTTGTGTATGAATACACGTATAAGTTATTGCAAAATTTGAAACTCCTTGTTTGTGAAATTCAATAGTCTAGAATAAAATATGAATTCCATGTTTTGTTTGATCGATTAATAAACTCATGTATATCAGATAATATTTGTGAAGGATGGATAAATATGCTTGTCGGTAAGTGCAACTCAAATCGTAAAATATATGAAAGTGAAATTAATACAAAATGCAAGCTGATCAAAAATTCGAGTCCAATATATTTGATCGTTCGTAAAATGAGAATAAACTATAGAATTACAAAAAGTTTTAAAGATTATAGAGATATTATTTCACGCATACCATAGGTATTCAAACCATACGGTTAAACTACCAAAAATCTCGAACGTTCGAAACTTTTTTAAAAATCTATAGCTGATTCTCATCTTATGAAAGATCAATTATACTTCTAAATCCCATTCTTGATGAGTTTTTAATTGGTCTCAAGACCGACAAACATATACAATTTATAAACTATCTCGACTATATCAATACAAAAAAAAAAAACAAAACGACTAAAAATCAGATCAAGCTCAAATTTAATTCGATTTAAATCTCTTGTGAAATCAAGTATAAATTGTCTGTCTATATTCTGTCATTCTTTTTTCTTTCGATATACATATTGAAAAGTGATTACAATCAAAAAGTTCATTTATCAACGATTCATATTGCGGAAAATTAATTCTAATTTTTTTTTTTTTTTTTTTTTTTCTTTAAGCAATAAAACAAAATTACTTTTCAAGGTTAATCAATTGCTTATATTATTAATTGTGACATATCAATTTTAAATAATTCATAGATTAATTTTAACATTATTATACTGAACTTCTGAGAATTTTGCATTCAAAGATTTAAATCAATTAACAAGTTGAAAAAAAAAGTTTAACAGACAATATGCATTGACAAATAAAGGTGTCCATAAAATAAATATTCTTTCCAATGCTGCTATAAGAATAATTGATATATTATAATTAAATGAAAAACGATCTCAAGTAGTATAAGAGAGTAGTATCAATGAATCATCTATAATTTTCTATCGATATAATTCAATGAAATAACAAGTACCTTCAAAATTTTTCTTTACTCAACTAATGAAGCGAATATTTCTTTTCAATATAAAAAATATGAATTTACTCTAATCGAATAATTCGATACATATACGACCATACAATGGCTTATTTACACACCATATTTTATCATAAACTAGACGGATATTTACGGTCGATTTTAATGAGAATATGACATACATATAACTACATATATACGATGCAAATACAGTGTTTTTTATATTCGTACCATAACTACTCGTCATAAACCGAGGTTACAACCAAAAAATAAAGATAATCATAACTAATGTCTCGGATATCGCATATATCAAAAAAAAGAAGATCCTTCATTGAATAAGTCAAATAAGAATATTTGTTCGATATTACTCTTCTATAATATTCACATAGAGTTATATGTAGGAATTTGACAATATCAATACGATATTATCACATTTTTAGCCATATATGAAAAATGACTAAAAAGTAAAAATAATAGTGAAGAACATAAAAGAAAAAGAGTTGCTATTAAGAATTTATTGCTTTCTATCATATAAATCATTGTATCATATTCAAGTGTCATCTTCACTATTTTCTTTTCTTCAGAGAAGAACATAAAACTATGTTATTTTTTCTCTTAAACAATCAACGATGATATTTAGTAATATAATGTACGTTTGAATGACAAAAAAAAAGAAGATTCAGACAATATTGATAGATTTAACAGTGTGTGAAAGTTTTTTTTTTTGTATTAAATCGTTTTCAAAATAGTGAAGAAAACCCTTATTTTCTATAAGATTTATTGGTTATGATTCCAGTACACATTAAAAAAAATTTAATTCATTATGATATTTTTCTAAGAAAAAAAGTTCAATATTTTACAACTTCAAATAATTTATTCTCTAATAATATATTTTCATTCTACGACAAATAGTTAAATATCCAAAACGGTTTATAATGTCTTAACCAGTGATAAATTATTTTATGGTATAAATATAAAAATCTGATTTCTTTGATCAATTCTTATTATTAGAAAACATTTTTATTTAATCAATGGCTTAGGTAAATTAACTAATAAAGAAAATTTTATATGTTCAAAAAAAACAAAACAAAAACTGTTAACGCAATCTCTGTGAGATTAAAATGTGAAACACGATATAGCTGTTCTTCCTAATGACAGGAAGATTGTCTTATTATATCTATTATTAGACATATTTCCTCATCATTTTTTTTAATGAGTCTCTCAGAAATACAATAAGAAAACGTTACTGATGAACGATCTGTGACGTGAGAGGAATTGGGCGTTCCAAATTTTCATTTCTATACTTCAATATTCCCTTTATATCATTCATTTCGTAAAAATAATTGTTTTTCTCTATACCTAGTTGTAGTAATATTATCATTGATTTGTTCATAAATAGTATAATTGTATTGAGTTGTTGTTTCAATTTTTTTTGTTTTTCTTGCACATCGTAAACCTAGTGAAAATTCTTGTTGAACAAAATTGTAAAACGATATTAAATCATCATGATCGTATTCATTTTCTAGTGTACTTCGAATAAAATTAATTGCTTGATTAGCTTCGATTGGATATTGCTTTTGTTTAACATTGACATGCATGTTTTGTGGATTTATTGCATTATTTTCTGTTTTTTTAGATTGATTTTGTCCATGTATGTAATAAATATAAGCAATAATAGAATTACATAATAAGAGTATTAAAAAACAACGTTTTCGACTTAAACAAAAATGATGATTATGATTTTTATTAATATCGAAAGCCATCAAATCTTAAGAAATAAGAAAAAAGATTCTACTAATTCCATGATCACAGGATGAATCATCTAAAACAGAAAGAAAAGTATAATATATTGAGAGTCAATATTAATAATAATAAAAAAATTTTGTTTTCATTCCATCTTCGGCAATGCACTTTCTACTTTTTTCTTTTTTTCTTTATTAAAGCATGGCAATAGAAAAAAAAAAAAAAAAAAAAAAGGAAAGAAGCCATGTTACTTTTCTCGTTTTTCTTTGCCTAGAGAAGCATTATATATTTGCGGACGAGAAAATAGTTATGTTAATTTTGCCTTCACATTGTTTAAGCAACTAACAAACTGAGCATATAGAACAAATAAAGAGACAAGAACGAATGTGTAATTTGAACCAAAAAAACAACGTGTAGTAAACATGAACGGATTGACAAAGAAAAAGGGATATAACTATGACTATTAGGAGGAATAGAATAATGCATATATGGAACGAAACATAAAGACACCAATGTGATTTAAAATGGCTAAGATAATGTATACTCATATTTTTTTTTTTTTCTTTAACAAAAAATGCCATTATCAAGCTATATGTCGAGAATGGTGACAAGTTGTTCTTTTTATCAGCTTTCTTTTCCTATTCTTTTCATCATAAATCAAAAGAAATAAAATTCCTTGACCTTCGAAGAGTAGCTTTCGAGAGCAAAGACAAATAATGTCATATAGTCGACTAAATTTTTTTCTTTTTTATTCGTCATAGCAATAGACATAGAAAACCTACCGAGTATTCAACATCATATTTAACTATAAAATTGACATAATTTAAGCAGCTGTCGCTCCTATATGCACACTAAATGATTCGAAAACGATTGAATTAGTATGCGCCAGCTGAAATTCTTTTTTTCACACACTGACACTGGAGAATATACCTATGAGAAATATCTTTTGCGTGAAAGACTAAGTTCAAAAGGAAGTAAACGAGTTACACAAATAAAGAGAAGAGAATATCTAAATCATATGTAAACAAGCATAGACTAAAAAAAAAACTATTAATGAAGAAAATCAAAGGAAGAGAACGAATAGAAAAAAGTAATATGAACTTTGATTACCTTGTCATGCTGTTTCATTTAGAAAAAAAAGTATTCTAGGTATTATGAATATTTTGACAGATGAATGCATTTGAAAAAAGAAAAAAAAATAATTGTCAGCACAGCCTCAGGGTTTAAATATGAAAATCATGTGTTCTTCAGTTTTATAATAGTAATACAAAATACGTGATTTTAAAAACCGGTAGTAGATTATAGCTGTTGCCTGGAGATGGCCGATTACTGGAGAACTTATTTACCTCAGTTATTTGTGTATTTCAATCAGATTTTTTTCTTTTACTAATGATCTATTTTTTGTTTGTCTTGTTATTACTGACTGATTGTTTTACTTTTATGTATATTCTGTGCTTTTTATTAATTTAACATTATTATTATTCTAACCATTAATATAACTGATAAATAAGCCTGTTGCATACATTGATTATGTCATTATATATTTTGAATGCGTAGAAATACTGATATTTGATTATTGATCAAACACACTATAATGTGTTTTTTTTATATGTGCACAAGTAGAAACTGCGTTATTTACTTCGATTGGACCGAAAATTTTGACAACATTAGTGACAATTTTATAAAATAATTAACATTTTAGAGTCGATTGCATGAGTAAATAGTAGAATGTCTTGTCTACAATAATATCTATAACAAGTCTATCTTGAATATAGTGACTATGCGAATATTTGACTGATCAAGCAAACAAAGAGTCGCTAGCTTCAGAGATTTCTATGATAGTAAAGAATATTTTTGAAAAAGAGTTTATCTAAGATAGTTATTATAGACAAGACATTATATTATGTATTCATGTCATAAAACTTTTGGTTAATCTTTAGTAGAATTCAGAAATTTTTTACACTTGTACATTTTTTGTTGTGTTACTTATTACCGAAATAAATAGTGAATGGTTATATAGAATTCTGTTTAAATATTGAACGTCACTGACCTTGATGATTTACCAACACAGAGCGAACGATTTTCTTTCTCTGCTATTCCAGAAGCTGCTTACAATTTAAAACTATTAGCACAATTTTTAAACAATTCTATTTGCGACATAGTATAAGAAAGGTAAAAGTTGCACATCAGAATTCTTTTGTTGATTTTTCATATTCTGAAGAGATTTGTTGTCTTATCTAACATAAAGTATATGAAAAATGAATATAATAAATGTTACTATCAATGTAAAAGTTTATCAGAATTCTGTTGCTGATTCCTCAACCAATGAAAAGACTTCTGTCATAGCAAAGACAAACTATACGAGAAGTGAATCTTAGATGTTAGAATTGTGTGACTGGTTTTTCATAGTTTGAATTGACTTTTTTTCTTATCTAAAGTAAAGTCTATGAAAGATGAATATCACACATGTCATTATCAATGTAGAAGTTTATCAAAATTCTGTTGTTTTGTTTTTTGAAATTCCAGTGTGGAAGTTAGAACCTCAAACATTTAAACTCAATTAACTTTTTGAATTTTTTTAGTAGACATAAGTAAGTTCAAATAGTAATTATTTTGATTTAATTGATATCTTTGATAAAATAAATAAATTAAAATATGTGTATTTTATTGCTGTTTATTATAAAATATATTTATCGAGCATATACGATTTTGAATTATAAAGTATGTCTTTGAAAGTTTCGCAATAGAGTAAATCGATCAAATATTGAAATGATTATAACTTTCAACTAAAGTGATAACTGTTGGCCATAGTTATAATCTTGAATCTTATTTAGAAACAGTTTGGTTATAGTTACTGGCCAATACAATTTTCAATATTACTCAAGATATCTCACGTAAAAACATTAGGATAAAAATCGATTATAATCAAAATGCATCGAAAAAAAACCAAACTGTCATTGATTATGATGATTAATTTTGATGATAGTAGATAGAAACTTGAAAAAGAAAAAATTATTATAATTGATGCCACTCTAAGTAAGTAAACTGATTAAAGATATTTTCGTTTATCATGTTTAAATTTACTCACAACGCATATTGACGATGATTATTATTTTAGAGAATAAGAAATAAAATACAGTTGTTTTATTTTTAAAATACTATTGTTAGCTGCTCACACACGAGAAAATGTAACTTGCAGATGAATATATGAAAAAACATTCAGACAATAATCTATAAATACTACGTAAGTTCCTAAATTGAAGACCAATAGAATTCATATATTTTTATTTATTTTATCAAAGATGTCAATTAAATTAAAATAATTACTATTTTAAATTAATTATGTCTACTAAAAAATTCAAAAAGTTAATTGACTTTCAATGATTGAGATTTTAACTCTCACATTAGAATTTCTTTTATCAAATCATTCCTATTAATTGTTGATCTCGTCTCAAATGAATAATAAGAATTTCACATCTTGTTATACTTTGGATATTAATAAAAGCATTTAAAACAAAATTTAATTCGTATTATAATTAGTAAAATAGGAATAAAAAAATCTTAAATAATAAATTATATAAATTGTATGTGAAATACTACATATACTTTAGGCATAACAAGTTTTTTTTCCAACAATTATTTGAGTTAGTAGACATATTTTATTTAGCATAATCGATTTGTTTGAAGACATTTACTGATAGTTTTTTAACATAATCTGTGACTAAATAATTTATCATCTTGGTTGTAGCACTCAATATACAGCGAATACATGAAGTGATAGTAAATGATAAACTCTGAATATGTCCATACACAAATCAGTTTAGATTCTTCGAACCCAGCAGAAGCTGAATTGAATAATCGTCATTAACTACAGTTTGACGAAGTCATTTTGTCTGAAAACAAGTTTTAATATTTTTTCTAAAAGCAAATAATCAAACATTCTTGAAAAAAACTGGCAGATATGAAAATAAGGAAGACTTCTAATCACTAATACTATATCAATAATTCTCAAAAACTACTTATTAATGAAATGAGAAGACAAAAATCATCGGCCAGCGCTCAAGACATTGAAAGTCATTCTGACAATATTCAACTATGTATATATTTGTAAAAATGCTTTTACTATCCTGCATTAGAATATATCATAAGTACTTTATACTCACTTTATTCTACGAATATAGTACTATGTATTTGTCAGGTGTTTGATCGAATTGATAAACTTTATCAATCAAACAGCCCTTAGTCAGTACATGGAATGTTGTAAGCAAGATGATGAATTCTTTAGTTGAACATTATTTGAAGCATGACTTCAACAAAATATCTGCAAACAAATTGATTTTGTATGATTAGACAGGACTTCCAACTTTAATACTTAATTGAGCCAAAACTTGATTTATTCTTTCTTGCGCAATTTTATCTACCAAAATCACTGCTTGCGGTATGCCCTCATGAGAAAAGGCAAGGGATTAATAAATCGCTTTTAAAATTTTAGTTACATTAATTTGTAGAAAGGATGGGTGTTGGTGCTTCCTTTAACCTCATCCAAACTCGACACCGACATTCTGTATGAAATAGACTAATGTTTAACTCTCTTTTAAAACAATTGATTTCTTGAATTTAATTGAAACATGTTTTCTTTGCCAGGCAATGAGTTTCTGAGATGTTTTGTTGGAGAATTTTAATATATTTAAATGGAATTATACATTTGATATAATTTCTTACAATAATATTTTATGAAAAGACGGTTTTTAATTAATTGGTTTACAATTCTTCCTAACAATATACTTCTCATTTTATTCGTACAATTTATTTTTTCGAGTTTTCAGATGTTTTAAATGTCATATGGTTACACTCTGAACATAACATTAGATGTCAATGGTCGAAATGTTGGATAATATCAATATATTTTAAAGGTATAGTTGATCGATATTTTGTCTGGCAATGCAAAGTGTTGCCATAATGAATAAATTAGCAGATTTATATGAAACATGCTTATTTAAGGTGTTGATAGCCTCCATGG